ATATTTCAAGTAATAACAGAGAACATGAGCTCCTTTTCTGAGTAGACACCCCATGTCTGCGGGATATCAGTTCCTGGTGTGGGATGTGTTTTGTTTTGAGCAGGGGCAGGCTGTGCTACACGGCGTCTTTAGCAATGTGTCTCTAAACTTCCCTCATCAGTGGAGGGTTGTTAACCACGCCTCTCATTTAGACCAGTCTGTCACGTACAGAAATGAAAATATTGTGTAAAGATGAATATGGCAAAAAGACTGGGGGGGGGGGGTATGGGAAAAAGAATAATTTAGGACTTTAAATCTCAAAACATAAACATTATCCAGACATTTAAACAAATTTTAAAGTGCCTCCGTTGTCACCTTCTCACACTAATCTGATGTCTGTCTACCCTCCAGGGGGCTGCGCTTCTCGACTCACACCTGTGTCTGCATCTGTATCGATCTAGCCACTCTCTCTCCTAGTTTTAGTGTGATTTCACCCCAAACACATGTCCCATTCATAAGACAATTCTTTTTCAAGCGAAAAAATAAAAATTCTGACCAGACACCCTGTAAGAAGAACAGGTCCACCCTCCAATCTCTGGGAGCAGGAGCAGGAGGCCCTTAATTTACATCCTCCCTATGTCTCCCCAGAACCCTTATGGGCAAGGGAAATTGAGAGTCATTACTGCTTTGGAATCCCTGCGGGTCCCCAAGGGCTGGAGTGACCCACAGCCTCAGCGATGTCGTTGTTGTCAGGTTCTCTGTTTGCTGCAGGCATTTTAAATTCCCACAGTAGCTTCTACTGACACATTCTGTTGTTTCCCTTCATCTTGCGACTCCTCTTGAAGTTGATTCCTGGTTCTTTCCTTTATCCCTTCTCTTATTCTGCTTCACTGTCCTTATTTCATAACCTATGTTGATTACTCCAGTGACTCCCTGTATTTCCCATTTCAACCTTAAATACCTTATAAAATTACACTTTTCATGTGAGTATGTTTAATAAATCCATGTGTGATACAGGATTCACTTTGACACACTATCTCCCCCCTCCCTCCCATCCTCCTCAGTCCTCAGAACAGTATTGTCCATTGGTGAGGATCTTTCCACATTTTCATTTGTATGGACATAATCAGTAAGATCTCTGAGAATACCCCTCTGGTTGACCGCGGCTGCATGAATTCCGTCTGTGCTTCTCTTCCCAAACGTCCTGAGCCACGTCCACAGCACACACATGCTCACTGCCAGTGGGGTCAGAGCTTCCCACTCCCCCTCAATGTCCCCACAGTCTGATATATGTGTTTATTCGGTTTTCCTCCCCAAAATGCTAATGACTTGAATTATGTATAGTATTTATTATGATGAAAGCAACTGCAGTAAGATTGAAAAAAGTTATCTTGCTTCTTTTAATCCAAAATAAATTGCTCTGAAAAAAATACACCTTTTAGATTCTGAAAAAGAAAAAAATGCTATTGAGGTAAAGGGTGTGAGTCAAACTGGTTAAGTTTAAAGAAAGATATGGTATTTTTGTGCACCTGAAAAATGTTTAAAATATATCCTAATTTCCTGGCTACCTTAATGAACTCCAATTCTTAAATCATACTTGAGTAATTATGTCTTATGACAGGTATGAAAAATGAAATTTTGTATCAGAGAAGTATGCTCCATAATAATATTTTGGCAAACTGATATATGTTAGAGTTGAAAATAAAATAACATCCTTTTCAATTTCATTGGTATTTTTCTGATCACTTGCAAAACAAAGATATTTTATAAGCACATGAATGAGTCTGTTGAGTACTGTCTGTTCATATCCATTGTCATCATTTGGTTTTGGTTTTAATACTGTAACTAGTATTGTTACTTAGGTTATTGTTATAGCTTCCTCTTACACGTCTTATCCAATTAAATACTTTTGTGTATTATTTAATATAATATCTACTAATCTTCTTATTTCATTCTTAAAAATAAAAGTGCCATTGTTTTGGACCATGTACTGTGATGATTTCCCCAACCCCAAATTATAAAAATATACTCTAATATTTTTACCTCGGAGATTTGTCATTCCTTACATTTTAGATTCAGTATGTCATTTAGTTGTAATTGTGAAATGTTGAAATACCTCTGCTTCTACCTCCAAATAAGTTAATACCATATAATAAGTAGATAATTTTCCTAGAAGTTTATTACATTTATTAGGAAGAATACATGCATTCACATATGTGTGTGTTTGTTTATTATGCTTCTTGTTTTGTGCCATTGACTTCTCTACTTTTTGCATTTTCAGCATAAAGCTTTCCCTAGTACCCATTATCTTCATTCTCCTTTAGTTTTTTTTTATTTTTATAATTACTTGAGAAATGGTAGAAATATTACCATTTAGACAGGAATCATGTTAAATAAGATATACCTACATTGTAATAATATCTTTATGAATATGATCTTGGGCTCTAGTTTCTCTCTATTAATTCTTTCTGATGCTCATATTTTAATTGAGTTTTAAATTTTGCTTCTATTTTTCCTTAAAATTACCTAATTGGGGTGTAATTTTGCCAAATTTTAATACATAGCTTTATTTTTTTTTAATATATCAATACCAATGGATTTTACCAAGGAATGATTCTGGGTACGACTTTAACATATCTTTGCAGGTGTTTTTCCCTCTATATATCCCTTGGATTTTTTTAATTGGCATTTTTATAGAGATAATTGATGACTCACATGCAGTTGTCAGAAATAATATAGAGATGGGGCCAGCCCCGTGGCCAAGTGGTTAAGTTCCCGTGCTCTGCTTTGGCAGCCCAGGGTTTCACCGGTTCAGATCTTGGGCATGGACATGGCACCGTTCATCAGGTCACGTTGAGGCGGCATGCCACATGCCACAACTAGAAGGACCCACAACAACAAAAAAATATATACAACTATATACTGGGGGGATTTGGGGAGAAAAAGCAGAAAGGAAAAAAAAGAAGATTGGCAACAATTGTTAGCTCAGGTGCCAATCTTTAAGAAAATAAAAAAAAAAGAAATAATAGAGATTCTGCGTACACTTTACTCAGTTTCCTCCAGTGGTAACATTTTGCATGACTGATAATATGCATGAATCTGATTCACTTTTCACTATTTTAACCTTATTTTATAGTTATAATTCACTATTATCTTATTTGACTACTTTTCATTCAGTTGGGAGTGTGTGTGTGTACCCTTCTGTGTATTAAAGCCATTAGAAGGCTTTCTCTTTGTCTGGATAGGCCACAAGCCAACACACAGAAAGGTCATTTTTTCTTTCATTTTGCCTTTCATTTTATGGATTTTTAAATTTCACTTTGATTTGATATAGTTTAAAATTATGTAAAATATTTAAATTTGTTAAAGACAAAGCTATAACACGGGAAAATTTCATAAACTTTCATTTCTGTCCCTCTACCCCATTAACACTCTATTCATTTATTTAAAATTTTCTACTTGCTTTAAAAATATAGCATACTTTGTACATTGTTCTAGACTACACCTTTTTCACTTAAGAATATATCCTGGAGAAAACTCCATAGAGTTTCTTCAGCTGTAATTCAACATATGTGCTCCTGAAAACCCCCAAGATACACAAAATCCAAAATAACAACACAGAGCTTATTGGGCCACTCAGAGATGTCATGAGTAAAACATTAAAAAGAAGATAGAAGCCTAGTAAATATGGCAACAGTTTTAAACATTTTAAATACTAAAGAAATAAGTAAATACTGTAATAAGTATGACACTTTGCCTTAAAAAGCTGAAATTTTCCTGTAGAAGTGGCAGTCAGAAGGAGTACAGTTTATGAATGATTGTGAAGTTGGGGGAGGAGGGTTATGTAGAATCAGGTGGGTGGGGGGTGGGGGACATGGGTGAAGGGAGTCAAATGGTACAAACTTCCACTTGTAAAATAAATGTCATGGGAATGTAATGTACAGCATGGTGACTATACACAATAATACTGTACTGCTTATTTGAAAGTAGTAAGAGTAAATCTTAAAAGTTCTCATCACAAGAAAAAAAATTTGTTAACTATGTGTAGTGATAGATGTTAACTAGACTTACTGTGGTTATTATTTCACAATAAATACAAATATGAGTCATTGTGTTGTACATCTGAAACTAATATAGTGTTGTATGTCAATCATACCTCAATTTTTAAAAATTACATAAATATAATCAGCTGGAAAGTTGCAACACCAGATGTGGATTTAAGAGGCTATAAGACACAGCGAAGTGAGGTGCCTCGTATGTCTGAGTTGTGTCCTAGTATGTATCTGAGTATTCCTGCACAGCTCGCATCAGAGTGCAGTTTTTGGCATTCATCTAGTATTTCTTCCAGATGAAAAACACACGTAAGCAAACAAAATCTGCTTTATGCTCAAGGTGTTTCCCAATTTCTCAACAGTGTTGGAAAAAACTTTGACAACACACTGCTTGGCTCAGTATACAGAGATGTCCCCTCTCCTCGTCTCTCTAGCTGTTGAGGCCTGTGTGCAGCTGTGCCCTCATTCATCCACCCAGATCCTCAGAGATGGTTACGGCTATTTCTTTTGTTTGTTTCTTTTGCTCACTTGGCAGTTTTCTTTCTTTCTTCATTTTTGTTTTAACAGATTTTATTCTTATTGAAATATGTTCAGCATACAACATTGTGTAAATTTAAGGTGTACCACTTGTCAATTTGATATATTTATGTATTGTAATATGATTGTCATTTCAGTGATAATTCGCAACTGTATCACATTACATAATTATCCTTTCTTTTTAGTGATTTAAATAAGTTCTAGTCTCTTAGCAGATTTGACAGTTATCTGAGGCTATTTCTAATGCAGTTCTTCAGTGAACTGCCATTACACAAAAAAGTCTAAAATGTTAATACCTGCTTAAAGTGAGAAAATATGGTTTAGGTTAAGTGCTGAAAAGTACTCTCCATAGTGATGGCAAGACATTTATTTTTGGTTTTTTTCTCATTCTTCTGACTTCAGTTAAAATCAACACCCATAGATATTGATGCAATGGGTTCTGGCAAATTGGAATTGGGGATTATCTTCCTCACTCAGACTGCAGTTGGGATCCTTGGAAATTCATCCCTCCTTTGTCTTTACAGTTTTACTCTGCTCACTGGACACAAGGTGAGACCTACAGACCTGATTCTCAACCAACTGGTCTTTGCCAACTCCTTGGTCCTTTTCTCCAAAGGGATACCTCAAACTATGGTGGCTTTTGGATTAAAATATTTCCTGGATAATGCTGCACGTAAACTTGTCTTTTATTATCACAGAATGGGCACAGGAGTTTCCTTCAGCACTATCTGTCTTCTTAATGGTGTCCAGGCCATCAAGCTCAACCCTAGTATTTGTAGATGGATGAATCTCAAGCTAAGATCCCGAAATTTCATTGGCTTCTGCTGTTTCCTGTGCTGGATCCTGCATCTCTTGGTGAATTCATGTATGCCTATAATAGTGAATGGCCCATTAAAATGCAAAAACCTTAGTGTGGAAAACAATTGTGGATACTGTTCCTGGACAATGCCAGGGAGATTTAGCTCATTATATACTGTCATATATTTTTCCCCCGACTTTATGAGTTTGGTCTTCATGGTGTGGGCCAGTGGCTCCATGGTCTTCATCCTGCTCAGGCACAAAAAGCGAGTCCAACATATTCATAGCAACAGAGTCCCTCCCAGACTTTCCCATGAGGCCAGGGCCACATATGCTATCCTAATCCTGGTGAGTTCCTTTGTTACCTTTTATTCAATCTATGCTATTTTGACTCTTTGGATGACACTGGTTACAAACCCAGGCCAGTGGATGGTAAACATCTCTGTGCTCATAGCCTCATGTTTTCCAGCATTCAGCCCTTTTGTGCTCATGATCACTGACACCAGAATCTCAGTTCTGCTTTGCCTGAAGGTCAAGAACAAATCGTTTTCCTCATCTAGTTACAGTGCCATGAATCTGTAATCTTTACGGCATTTAGTCATTCACTTCGACATTTGTTAACGTTTGGTTAACTATCATGTTCAAGGAAATTACAATGTCACAGCAAATAAAGCCAGTAATATTCCATGGATCTTACAATAGAGGTAAAAATGAACATCACGTACTTAAGTATACAAAGATTACTTACTCTAATGGTGTTAGGATCCTCAGAAGAGACGTTCAGGGAATTTTGAAATAGTGTAAAGGAAGGAAATTTCTAAGGTTAGGGAATTAGGGTAAATCTCTCACTTTGGGTCTTACGAAGATACATGGAAGGTTTTTAAAAAATATATTTTTGAAAATAATTGGGTCAAGTTCTTTCTGACAAAGGGAAAATCACATGGAAGGATCCTATGCAGCCTAAAGTAATTTGGAGGATCCTGAGTCTTTCTTCCTCCTCCCCTTCTTGACACAATAGTGTCCATTTCCTCACAAGTCACATCAAAGCTGTGATAGTCAGCCAGAGCTCAGCCCATAGGTGAAAGGCTCAAGGGAAAGATCAGGGAAATGAGGGGTGACATGAAGGAATAGAGTCAATTGTGGGAGGGGGTCAGAGGTAAACATGGAATCAAGTGTTGACATCTTTTTTGGGGGGGGGGGAGATTAGCCCTGAGCTAACTGCTGCCAATCCTCCTCTTTTTGCTGAGGAAGACTGGCCCTGAGCTAACATCCGTGCCCATCTTCCTCTACTTTATATGTGGGACGCCTACCACAGTATGGCGTGCCAAGCGGTGCCATGTCTGTACCCGGGATTCGAACTGGCAAACACCAGGCCGCCGAGAAGCGGAATGTGCCAACTTAACCGCTGCACCACCGGGCTGGCCCCGACATTTCTTTTATCAATAGCTGTCCTTGGCCAACAACAGCCCAAGTATATCACCCGTGTGGGTGTCTTTATCTTTGTATCTGGAAAAGGAAGGACAGTGGGATTATGAATGATGAAGCCATAAAGGGGGAAATCTAGGCAAAATGCTGTATCATCTCATAGGTTTGGGAATTATTGTGCTGCCTAGACACTAGTGCTGGGTCCCTGAGAAAGGAAAGGGCAGAAGGAGGACATGTCGGGGAGGAAGGCGAATACTCAGAATGTCTCTCACTCTCTCTACTGACCTTCAGAACTCAGGCTCTTTTCTAATTCTCTTGTATGGCGACACTTCACAACTGATGACTGCACTTGGAGGTCTGCTCAACAATGAGACATTTGGCAATGGATCCCTGGCTCAGTCAGTGAAAACCACTTTTTTGTGGCCTTGAAGATCCTTTCCAAGCCTGGGAAAATCAGTTCTTTCCCACTCAGCATATTCCTAATGCTAGGAACTCAAGTCCCAAACAGGAAATGGAATCCTCATCTATAGAAGCAGTTGTCCTGATATGAGTTCATCCTGCTTGTCTGTGACTTCACCTTATAAAACGATCTCTCTATCTCCAGGAGACCTCTGTCTAGGATGGGATCCTGCTGCTTCCAAAAGTAAGATTTTCTTCCTTCCTTTACCTGGGATGGAGATTGTGTTCTCTACCCTGTGCTTTCTCTTGGACTTGCAAACATCCTTCGAGTGATCACAGGCTGCAAGTTAATAATCCACAAAATGCTTTCCTACTCATAAGCACCCACACAGCCTTATATTACCGCACTAACAGCGACAACGATTTTGAGGTGCTTCCTGGTACTGTTTTAAAAGCTCTCTGTATTTTCATTCACTTAATCCTCACTCTTACTTTGTGATTCTCTGAGAGGAGGGTACTTAAACTGTGTCATTTCAAAATCACCTAGGGAACTTGGTACGAATACAAGTGCTCAGGTTCTTTCCTACTTCAGTGAGGTAGGGGCTTCTGTGGTCCTATTTCTCCAGGGATTCTGATGCACCCCCAAAGTCTGAGAACACCTGCACTAGAAGGAAATGCCAAAATTAAGGACCTACCTAGTTAAGACGCAACCATTTGATATCTGGCAATCCTACCTAGGAGAAAAATAATAATGAGAGAAGAGTAAGCTGTCACTTAGCACAAATCTGTCCATCCAGCTGCCTGAGCAGAATGAGTACCATGATGTAACGACTTGTTAAATTCAAAACATCCACACCTCAAGTCCGTAAGGATGAACTGTTTTCAGTTTGGCTATTTGGGATAATGAAGCAATCCAAATAAAAATAAGAGTGAAATAACCACCATTTCGGCATCAATGTTACTATAAAAGAATTGGAGACTCCTTAGATAAATTGCCTATATTTTGTAAATAATATGAGAGATAAGGTGATTTACATGATGGAATTATTTACAGGTTTAAAAAATAACAAAATTTGTTACTCTGAAGCAAAGTAGTTTTAATTACATAAAATATGCTTTAAAAAGTTGTATGTTACACTCCATGTTAGTTACAATTATAGTGAAAAAGCATGACCCGATTTCATGAAGGGAGGTAAAAAAAGGAAACTAGCAAAATTGAAGAGAACTCTGCTAATTTGGTGTGATTTTAGTTGGATTTTTTTCTTTTTAAAGAATGACTCTTTTTATTGGGCATACATATTAATAATAAGGAAAAGATTGTCTTTTATATAGAAGTGCCATTTGGGAGAGTACTAACATTGCAATTTGTGTTCCATCTATTCTGATTTTACAAATTATTAAGTGTTTGCATCTTCCCTAATCCTTTTCCTATTACCAAAAAGCTTATTTTGCTAAGGATTTGAGCTCCATCCCAGACATAAAGTCACACAGCAGAGAACATGGTGTCCCACGCTGACCAGGTACTGGCCAGGGGGACAGGCACACCCCCCACATACACACACAAAAGAGGTTCACCATCACATTCTAACCTTCCTCTAAAATCGCAGAGCTTGGTCCATATCGGGACACATTTAAACAAGTTTTCCTGACCTCTTTTGCTCATCTTTTTATGGAAAAGAAACAACATCCCTGATACATTTCACATGATTAATATTTTAGGTCATGACCAAACGTGTTGGTTGCGTTTTACAGAAGCAGAACCTGGCACAGGTTCTGTGATTTACACCTGATTTACTGAGGGGAAATTATAAGAAGAAATCTAAGGTCTGCAAATGAGGCAAGAGAAGAGCTAAACAAGGATGTGGTCTCATGAGGAATCCACCTCACCGTGATCCCACATGGAGCTCTGGAGTGTAAATGGCACCACACAGTGGTCCCACCTTGAAACAAAGGAGCGGTCCTTTTGTTACTCTAGGTCAGGCAGTCCTCAAGTATTCCCCAGCTAAACTGCTTTCTGTGTTTACTTTTTCTAAAACATTGGACTTACCTGCAATAGCAAGAATCCATATATGAGACATTTTACTTTGTGTTATTTCTGAACATTAATTTCTTATTCTGTTAGGGAGTCTGTATTGTACTGCTAGGGGCATTCTAAAAATCAGTCCATCAATGAATAAAAATACTGATATATTTTACAAAAAAAAAATCAGAGTTCTATATTGAAATGCCTACAGTCTGTCTCACTTGGATGTTTGATAAATTCTAAAACAAAATCATGTTCAAAAGTGAGATCCTAATATTTCCTTCTAACCTCCTCTGCCGGTACCACCACCATCCCTTTCCCATCTCGGTTAATGACAAATCCATCCTTCCAGCTGGGACAAACACCTTGAGTCATCCTTGACTACTGTAGTGTGACAGACAGGCTGACTGGGAGTGGAGAAGCCAAGTTCTGACCTGAGGACATGGAGCTGTGTAACTACAATCAAGTGCAGCTTCTCAGTAACAAAGATGCTATACAATGAGAACACAAGGCACCTTCTTGGAGTGAATTTTTATTGAATAAATGTTCATGGATTGCATGAGGTAATTGGTAACATTGTGCATAATCTTGCTAGTAGACTAAAACTGGTGGGGAGTAGTTTGCTTTCCACAAATGGTTTTCAGAGATAACGTCAATTCCCCTGGTAGATACTATTACAGCAATTACAGCAAACAGATTGAGGTCAAGAAAACCCAAATGTCTATGTCAGGGTTTGGGTGGCCACTATCTACACATTTTCTGACTGAGACCGCTGCAGGCACTGTCCCAGCAGAAAATGAAATTTGGTAAATACCTCTCCTTTTCAAATAGATCACAGGTGTCACACTACTAAAAGAAATGGATTATGCCTTGGAACTTGGAGTAAGAAATACTGACATTGCAAAGATAGCACTGCTCGCTGGGTTGGACACGATACAATCAGTGAATATAAAAGCAGGAAAAATGTATTTTCTGAGGGAAAAAAATGACAGCACCTTGGCCACGTGATTCAAGGCCGCCTAATAGCATCTCCGCCTTCTTCGCCTCTAGGAAGTCTTTTCTCTATTGTCCCTGACCAATATTGAAGCCCACAGAGTTGACTGTCAAGCTTCAGTCTTGTCGACGAAAATAATCCATAACCAATCTATAGATGAAAATTTGGGAGAGTTTATTCTGAGCTGAAATCTGAGGACCATGGCCCGGGGCCTTTCTTCCCAAAGGAAGAAAGGGCACCAAAAAAGTGATGTATACAGAGTGGTTATATACCCCCAAACTGGACATTTCACATATGATTGAAATGTCCCTCCCACAATAGTCACAAGATTGCCCTGTCAGCACAGCACTTGATGGACACAGCAGGTAGTGGGTCTGCTATCTCAGAGGGCCTAGCAGGAGGCAAGTCTATTGTCTCGAGCTGGCCGGTCAAAGGTGAGCACAGCAATCAGTTTCTAGCCTAAGGAAAGACGCTTAATCCTTAAGGAGATGCCAACATTGGGAGGGGGAGGGAAGTTGCACTTTTATCTCAAGGGCCTTTGTTCTTGCCATAGGGAATATCTAAAGCAGATAGACAATGCATGCTCACCGGACTCAGTCAGGCCATTTTGGAAAGACAAGGTCAGGCCGAATTAGGTTTATACCAAATGGCTTCCTCATATTCTCCAATGTATCCTATTGCTTGCCATTTTTATTTGTCAGTCTCCCTGTAATGAAAGAGCAGCAAGATAATATTTATTAGGCCTAATCTTTGAGTGGACTCACCTTTCATCAGAGTGAAATCATAGTCTGGTGCGTCCCTTTAGGATTTTAGCCTTTGGCCACATATGAAATAACACATCTAAGCACTTCTTAGTTGCAGAGGACATGAACCAGAAATGGGGTAGGGGCCGTTTAAGAAGCGAAGAAGCCTCGCCCTGCCCACAGAGCCTGATGACGTCATTTCCCAGAGGCCCTCACTCAGTCGCCGCGGGTCCTTCGCGGAGATTTCCGGAAGGGCGCCCCTGGAGGCGGCAGGCAGAGCTGCAGAGCCGCATTAGCCAGCAGGCTCAGTGGAAAGAGGCGGTAGCCCTGGGCCAATGCGGGTGCAGGGCTGGGATCCCGCGGTGGCCGAGACTTCCGGCGGCGTCCTCGTGGGTGTCCAATTGGCTGCTCCTGGGTCGCTCCTCAGGGTCGCGGCTCCGCAGCCCTCGGCGGGCTCGAGGGCAGGGAGCAGGGAGGCTCTGGAAGAGGCGTCGTGGCCCTCTTGCAAAGAGGGACGGCCGGCAGTGCGTGAGGCGGTTGAGGGATCAGCTGAACCCTTGGGACCCACCTCACAAGCCCCGGGACGTGCCCAGGGGCCCATGGAGGCTGCAGAGGCGCCGATGGCCCCGTTGCAGGTGAGTGGATGGCCGCTCAGGCCCCCTGGACCCCCAGCCACGCAGTCCCAGGGCCCCACAAAGAGGACACTGTTGTCCTGGGTCTCTTCGTTTCCCTTAACCGTGGCTTTGAGTCTGAGAGCCACAAAGCGTGGTGATTCCCCTAGTGCCCTGAATCCACGCGAGGGTTGATACGGAAGGGTTCCTAAGGCGGTGAATTAATGGATGCGGTAGGGAGGGGTGTCCCGGGCGTATACACCAATGCGTGCAAATACTGGGAGGTGAGGCGGAGCTGGATGCAATCTCAGGCCTCCATTTTGCTTGGGGGGAAGAGAGAGCCCTGAGACAGGAGTCAGTTCTGGAATGACACTCTGAGGTACTGGGCCTCTTTTGAGGTAGGTGGGAGCCGTGAAGGATTTGGAGGAGCGGAGGGAAGTGATCTGATCCGGATCTTAATAGAATTCCTCTAGCTGTAGATTAGAGAGCAGACTAGAGGGTGAGAGGAGTCCGAGACAGCAGAGAGGCGGCTCCCTGTACCCTCACACAGTGCTTGGAACCCTCTGTTCCCCATGTTACCGTCAGCCACCCTCCCAGCCCAAGCGCGTGTCACGGGTGTGCCAAACGAGGTCCAGAGCCCACCGCCTGCCACTGCCCAGCAGCTGGGTAGTCTTGGTTTCCTCACCTGTGAAGTGGGGTTAATCACAGCATCGTCTCTCTGGGGTCGTGGTGAGAGATGTGGGAACAGAGTGGGAAACACACTGAATACAGCACAGGGCACCCAGCGAATCCTCGGGAAATGCTACTTGTGGCCATCCATTTCTGTGATTTCTGGGGTCCAAGGAGGCCTTTGCCCTGGTCCTGTGCTGATGGCAGTGCGAACAAGAGAGAAATGGGGCTTCTCAGCGTCCCCCCGGTCCCTGCACTGTCTCAGTGAACCGGGCCTCAGGAAAGAGCTCTTGCAACAGTGTAGAGACTTCAGGGTACCTTCTGGGCATATCCTTCCCAGGGCTGTGACCTTGAGCAAGTCTCCTCACTGCCCGCCGTTGTCTTCCATCTTTTGGGGTCTAGAATGGGAATGTTAACATTTCCCCCCTTGACTTGAGGGGATCCGAGAGGGCATGTGTGTCCCCCAGTGTCCAGCACTGCCCAGGTAGCATCGCTCTGGACACTGTTCTGTGGTGATCTTAGGCACTCAGCCAAAGGAGTCCTGCCCTGGGGTTTCCTCCATCTCAGGTCTGTGTCCAGCCGAGGCCTGGGGGAGGAGGGAGAGCCTAAGGGAAGACACACAGTGGGAGCGGTACTTTTGGAATCGCTGCTCGGCTAAGATGAGAGGGCCCTTGGGCAGGCTGGGAGCCAAGGTCACTGGATTCATCTTTTCGGTTGCCATCTATTTATTACAAGCAAAGCCAGCTTGCCACTTAGAAGAGTAAATTCATTTTTCTGTTTAAGACACTTTCATATGAAAAGTAAGTGCATTAAAGATTGGGTGGTGGCCGTGTGCAGGAGTGGGGTGTGCATTTGGATGTAAACACAGCAGGCCCCAGGTTTCTAGCTTGTGACCCTGTTTCCTCTCGTCATAGCCCAGTCACCTGCAGGAGTTGTCTTATTTATTTGTGTGTCGTTCATGTGGCCATCTCCCTTCATTCCAGCCGTGTTCCCATGGCACCTCCTCAGGGAGGCCTTCCCTGGTTTCCTCTTCTAAAGTCTCCTCCAACCTCTCTAATCTCCTCCCTCTGTTTTCTTGACCTCAGAACCTTAAACCGTCCAACATTGTCTTGTCAGTTCCTCACTTCCATCTTGAGGATCTGCCTCCCCCTGCCACTGCCCCTGGGCTGTGAATTCCTGTTTGCTGCTCTGTTCCCAGACCTAGAACAGGGCCAGACCCATAACAGGGGCTCAGGAGCGGCTTGGAGAATGACTGAGGCTCCCTTGCGCGGGCTCTCATCACACCTAGAATTCGTTCAACCCGCATCCCTGCTGCAGCTGTCCCTCCAGCTCGTCCGTGCCTGCCCTGTGTCTTCCCTTCCTTCCTCCCTGGCTCACTGCCCTCCAGCCCCTCGGTCCTCCTTGAGCCAGACTCTTACCCATGTGTCAGCCTTTGCCCTTGCGTCCCTCTGCCCGGGGCACTGTCTCTAGAACTCCTCAGGGCGGCCCTGTGCATGCTTCAGGCCTCTGCTCAAATGCCGCCTCTTTGTAGAGGTACATGCTGGTCTTTCTAGTTCTCGTTAAAGCCCCCCGGCACCCCGCTGCATGGGAGCTGGCAGTTTTGTGCAGAGTTGAGTGCTGGGTTGAGATTTTCCGGGGTGCTCAAGGAGCAAGAGGACAAATAATCCTAAGGAAACAACAGTAAGAGCTGGCTGTCACTGGACCCTTGATTTGCTCAGAGGGACAGTTATGTTTTGTCTCCCTCAGTGCCCCCCTCCTCAGAGTCAAGTGCTGTTGTCATCCCTGCTTTACAGAAGAGGAACTTGAGGCTCAGAGACACTGAGTTACCTGCCCAATGTCACACAGCTCTTAAGTAGTTGAAACTCACACCTTGTCTATCAGCTACCAGAGCCTGTGTTCCCAATCACAGTGCGCTGGGGAGGCCTGAAAGTGACACCTCAGTTACACTTTGTAAGGTAAGCAGGGCTTTCTTCTGCGGATAAGCTTGGGAACAAAGAGGGCAAGGGGAGCCGTCCCAGGCAGAGGGAACCTTGTGGACAGGGGCAGTGAGGACAGAGTTGTTCAAGGAGGCATGAGAGGCCAAGGGTTCCCCCTACCTGCTGAGACATGTCTTGGGTTGGGGGAGAGTCCTGGTCGTTTGCCAGATGTTCACCCCACCCTCACACAGGACAGACATCCTGGCCAGTCAAAGGCTGCTGCCTATGCTCCCATGGCGACAGCTGCATCCCTCAGCCCCCTGCCTTCCTGGGTTCTTAAGGTGTCCAAACCTCAGGGACACTTGCTGTCAGGACTCCAGAAGGGACTCATTGTGGAATCTCCTGGGGATTCCACGAGGGCTGAGGACTCTCCAAGTCCTGCCACACTTAGGGCAGGTGGCGCCCCACTCAGTGCCTCTCCCATGAGGTAAGTGAGGACGGCTCCGATCCTCTGCCTGTGTCCATGGAAGTATGCTCGGGGGTGGCTGAAGTGGATTTAACAGCAACAGTTAGTAGAAGTGCTTCACCTCCTGGTCACTGTGATGTCACTGTGGTGATGGAGGAGTGTGAAGATCTCCACAGACCCTGGACCAGTGGGACCTGGCGTCAGATCCCACCTTCGCTGTGTAGACTGGGGACTCTCTGGGCTACTCACTAGAGCTCCTTGAGCCTCAGCTCGCTGACCGTGCCGTGGAGCTGATGATGGTGTTTACCCCGGTGGCTGTGGAAGGATGAAGAGAAGTAACAAAATATGCAGAGCACTGTCATGAGCCAGGGACGCTGTTTCCTTTATGAACATTTTCTCTTGAATTCTCACAACAACCTGATGAAGTGAGAATTATTATTATAGTCATGGGGGAAATCGAGGCTTGGAGACATGAAGTGTCTTCCCTGAGGTCACACAGCAGGCAAGTGTCCATTCGAGAGATTGAATTCAAACCTGGATGTCTGCTTCAGAACTGGGGACATTTAATCCCTTCACCTGGGCACGTGAAGCCCTCAGCCTGGGGCAGGTGCACGGGGAGGACCAGGGAGGCTCAGCTGCTGCTGCGCTGTTTTCACTGTTGGAATTATCATCTTGATCATTTTCCCTGTGCCTCTGACGTCCAAGAGCGCTTACTGTCTGCCCCCAAGGTCACTGTTGTCTGTCATTCTCCATTGTTTCCACCATCAGAGGTTTTTCTCTCAGCCACATCTGCCTCCTCCTTAAGCCCAGCACAGAGCTCGGCCCTCAGGAGGCTTTGGTGATTTGGACCTGGGTCTTTCTGCATCTTCACAGCGACTGAGTGACAGGCTCCGGTCCCATTCAATAGCACAAGGTGCATGATGCTGCTGTGTTTGACTTTCTAGGCACCAGTGACCTTCAAGGATGTGGTTGTGACCTTTACCCGGGAGGAGTGGGAATTACTGGACCTGGCTCAGAGGACCCTCTACTGGAAGGTGATGCTGGACACCTGCCGTCTCCTGGCCTCTCTGGGTAAGGGTTCTCCTCCCCTCCATGCACGGGACCTGCCGCCTGCTTCTTGCTTCCAACCTCTCTCAAGGCCTGGCTGGTGCAGAAGGCCTCTGCAGCCACCCGCCCTCCTCCCCACAGTCCCTGCCGTGTTCTGGACTCACCTCCTCCAGCCTGCTCTCCCTTTGTCTCCACCAGGGACCATGGGCAAGACACACAGTCCCCCGCATGGAAGGAAAGGGGGGTGTCTGGCAGAACCCAGGAGCAAGATGTCCTGAGGAACTGCATTCCAGAACTGGGAGGAAGCGCCATTGTACCCAGCTTGGGGTCTCTTCTCCTGGCTTCTCCCTGTGGGTCTGCTTGTGTCAGTGTCTTTGCACAACAGCTTTTGGTGGGAGTGGGCACCTCAGTCCTTGCCCTCTGAGACTCTCAGACTTCTCATCTTCCTTTCCTTTTCTCTGCATGTTTAAGTCCTGCCTTCTCTGGGCAGGGGTCTGCATGGCAGGAAGCGACCACTTGAGCCCGCACTTCCCTCGACCTCTCACCCCGGTGCCCGGCGCATGCTTAGCCTGGGCCCTTATTAAAGATTCCCATGAGAGGGAGCTGACTGGCCCAGCATGGTTGGATCAGGTGACCCCACAGCCCAGTTAGCAGGGTCATGGGTGATGGACTGGTCCTCCAAGAAGGGGGAGAGTCAGGCAGCCTCCCAGGGGGCGTTTGCCATCAGTGCTTCCCATCACCCTCATAAACAACACAATTTCAACGAAAAGACCCCTTTGGCCCCTGGCGTCTGTATGACCCTCCCTTCTTTCTTGCGGCCTGGGCCCCCCTTTCCACTGGGATGGCAGGTGATTTTAGAGGACACACAGAGGCATCACCAGATGCCTTTGATGGGCACCCCGAGAAAGCCGTTTCCCTCCTGAGTCCTGTCAGAACAATGTCTCCGTTTATGCCTTTCAGCACAGCTGCTAATTTCTCCTTTCAACAGCAGGAGCAGCCTCGCCCTCTCACTGCCCTGCGCGGGCCGCGTGAGCTCACTGGGACTACATAGCATCATTTTGATTTCATAGTCGTGTTTTGATGGGAACCTTTCTTTTGTAGCAAGGGAAAATTTTCCCCATTTTTTGGAATGATACAAGATTCCCTTTTTGAAGAAATTGATTTAAGAAAAATAAAAAGTGGTTTGGTTTAAAGAGAAGCTGTTAATAACAATTAGTCACAGCTCATGTCCCCTGAGCACTGACAGTGTGTCAGACCTGTTCCAGGCACTTGCCCAGCTCCTCTCATTGAATCCTGTGAGGTGTGGTGTTTTTCCAAAACCTGTTCTCTCCTCTCTGGGGACCTCCTGCCCAAAGGCAGCAATCAGATTTTGGAGCAAAAACTTTTATTATGACTATTTTAATTCACCTATGTATTATTCAGTGATATTATTATATTCCTGATCTTATTTCAGTAAAGTGCACAGTCTTAAGTATCTAGCCCAGTGCATGTTTTGCCCATATACCTGCTAGTACCCGCAATCGTCAGTGGTCTAAGGCAGACGGTGACTTAAGCCTGCCACTCACTCAGAAGCAGCAGCCTTAATTGAGGAGGGAAGAAAAGAGGAACGGGTTCTGCTGCCCACTCAGTGCTGCAGCCTCCTGGGGCCTGTGAGGGACCTAGATGAGGCCAAAGCAGGCCCCTGTACCAGGAAGAGGGGGCAGGAAAGCAGAGAACAGGGTTGGCCTCAGGAATGTGCCACCCCACCTCAATGCCCACTTTCTCCCAGCCCCACACGGGGCCTGTGAGCCCTTCTCTCCCCAGTGCTCAGCAGGCCAGGCTTTGGAGCCAGGAGGCCTGGTGTCGAATCTCAGCTCAGCTGCCTGTGGACTGTGCCTCAGGCCGCTGAAGATTGGGGGTACCCTTTGCAAGTTGAGGGAGACTGGGCCTCTCATTGCTCCCTGGACGTGAGAATCACCCAGGGAGCTTTGGGAACTCATGATGCCCAGGCCTCCCCCCAGAGATCAGGTTTGAACTTGTCTGTGGGGAGAACCGGGCATCCCCTGGTGAGACACAGGGAGAGTGGGACCCACTGACTGAGATTAATTAGAAAACAGCTGTCGGGGGAGGGCTCCCTTTCCCAGGGCCCCACGGCTGCACGTGAAAGGGGTGTGCACCTGCACAGTGTGGGTCTGCAGGACGGAGGGTGCTGTGTAGACAGCCAGCACGACCCTCTTCAGCCTTTTCACCCAAGGATGGTGTTGGGGCCTGGGTTCCAGGTCATAGGTCAGCATTGTTTTTGCATGTGGGGAGCAGCCTCATTCTGACACCTTCCCTGTCCTGAATACACACTCTGCCTGGGGAGGGGGTGGGGTTCTGTTTCATCTTTACAAAATGCCTTTGTCCTGTATCTCCATGAACAGGGTCTCCTGCGCCCACACGAGAGCTGACCTCCCTGCCGGAGCCTGCGCAGGAGCCACAGGCGGTAGAAGGGGGCCTCTCCCAGAGCACCTCCTCAGGTGGGTGGCAGTGGGGTCGCTGCAGCCTGCAGACCCAGAGGGGACCGCTGCCTCTGAAATCCCATGGAAGCTTCTTGTTGGGACCTCCCTAGGGACGCGAGTAAATGGCCCTGCCATCTGAGAAGCTGAGAGGGCCAGAAACAACCTTGAACAACCCCTCAGTACCTCTGTCTCCAGTAGACCCCTCATCCCGCCATCCCCGAGTCCTGCCAGGTTACATCACCCTTGCCCCCTGAGTCCAGCCCGCAAGGCCCTTCTGAGCTCCACCCCCAGCACCCTGGTCCCGCTCTCTCGTCATCTCTTCTCTGCTTGGTGCGAACACAGCCTGTGGTCTCCCCACATCTGCTTGTGCCTCTGCCCAGCTCTGTCTCCTGCAGCAGCTCCCCCAGCCACTCACCTAACTCCAGATCATCCCCGCTCCCCCCGCCAGTGAGGTCTCGGCCTACAACCAAGTTCATGTTGGAAATAAAGACTGCTTGCTTCTTCTTGCTCCTCAACCCTTTCAGACTCCTCTGCATTGGATTCCTGCCTGCAGCCTCTCTTCTCACCTCTGCAGAAGAGGTCTCGCCCCAGCAGTGACCAGTTCCTGCACCAGGATCTAGGTCACACCTTCTCCCGCCTTCTTGGGAACTCTCTTCTTCTCTTCTTTCTTTTTTTTTTTTTTTTCTGCTTTATCTTCCCAAACCTCCCGTACATAGTTGTATATCTTAGGTGCAGGTCCTTCTAGTTGTGGGATGTGGGACACTGCCTGACACGTGGTGCCATGTCCGCACCCAGGATCCGAACCTTGGGCCGCCGCAGTGGAGCGTGTGAACTTAACCATTTGGCCATGGAGCCAGCCCCTCTTATTTCTTTCCTTAGCTCTAGAATTGCCTCTGATTGGCATGACTCTCTGTACAACCAACTTCTTAGAGGAGATGGTTCATTCTTGGGAGAAATGTCTACACGGGCCTTCCAAACATCCCCTTTACTCATTATTTCTTTTCTTCTATTTTTTTTAACTGGAGTAATTTACACACATTAATGTGTATAAATCTTAAGGGTTTAGCTTGATGAATTTTTACACATGAATAAATCCAAGTAATCACCATTCATGTCAAGACACATACCCTTGGGGGCTCCTTGTAAGCCCTTCTAGTCAAGACTGCCTCCTCCAAAGGTAACCACCGATGCTCGAACACCATCAGTGAGTTCTCACGGTTCTTAGATGGGTGTACATGGACCCTCACAGTATGTGTTCTGCCTGTCTTCTGTTGATCATCAGTATGTGTGTGAGATTCATCCATGTGGTTGAAGACGGTTGGAGTTTGATACCTTCATGCTGTGTAATGTCTCATTCTGGTAATATATTGCAATTTATTTATCCATTCTTCTGTTGATGGACATCTGAGCTGTTTCCCGTTTTTGGGTGTTATGCACATCACTGCATGAGCAGTTCTGTTGGGCATATACCCAGGATGGGACTGGCTTGGACATAGGAGAGGTGTATATTAAGCTGTAAGAGAAACCACCAAACAATGTTTGGTGTGGTTGACCGTCCCATGCTCCTCCAGCTGTGTGTGAGTTCCATTGCTCCACATTCTCGTCAGTGCTTGGTGTCACGTCATGACTCTTTGTGGCACTTTAGAGGGGATTCTCAGGACCACAGCACTGAAACCGATGTGCGTCTTTCTTATCCCCATACCTCCAGCACAGAGATAACCATTTTCCAGAATTTGGATTTATTATTCATTACTTGTTCTGTGGGAAGTTATTAGAAAATCAATATCCTTGTAGATGTAGGGCTATTCAAATTTTCTATTTCTTCTTGTGTCAGTTTTGGTATGCTTTGTCTTTCAGTCAGTCCACTTCATCTAAATGGTCAATCCATTACTTTTTAAAATTGTTTTATCATACCTGTGTGTATGTATGTGTGTATACCTACACGATATATTGTATAGATTTTTTTTCAAACTTTATAAAAAGAGTATCCTATAATTATCTGGGACTGGCTTTTTCATTCAGTCTTATGTTACTAATGTTTATAATAGATATAGCTCTGGTTCACTCATGTTCTTCATTTGTACCTATGCTTTTGCATGAATATACCACAAAGTATTCATTCTCTTGGACATTGACTTTTCCCCAGTTTTTCACTCTTAGAAACAGTGCTACCATGGGAATTCATATACATGTTTCCTCGTGCATATGTGCAGGAGTTTCTCTTGATAATGTTCCCAAGAGTGGAATTTTGGATAACTAGGTACTTAGAATATTAAGATGATATCCAGTTGTTTTCTGAAGGGGTTATAATAGTTTTCTCTTCCCCCAGCAGTGTCTGTGAGATTCCATTGACCCACATCCTCTCCGATAATTGATACTGACAGGAGCCTTTATTTTTGCCAATCAAATAGGGAGAAAGAGGATCTCACTGTAGTTGTGTTTTGCAGCCCTTCTTTACTCAGACAGTTGAGCAGATCTTCATTTGTTTAGTGCCCACAGGTCTGTCTTCTTTCCTTAGTGCCAGTTCATGATTTTTTTGCCTATTTTTCTGTTAACATGGCTGCTCTTCTCTTTTTGATTTGTCAGATTTTTCATATATTCGTGATACTAATCTTTTACCCATTATATGGGCTGCAATTGTATTCTACTAGAGTTTAGCCTGTCTTTTAATTTTCTTTAAAGTATCTTTTGATTAAAGGAAGTTTATATTTTGTTTAGTCAGATCAATTTATCTTTTGTTTTATGATTTCTGCTTTTCGTGTCTTGCTAGGAAATCTTTCCCTACACCAAGGTCAAGAAGATACTCATTTTTCATTGCTTATGAAAATATTTTAAAATTTGACTTCTTCCATCTAAGTTGTAATGAATCTGGAATTATCTTTTTGTATGGTGTGAAGTAGAAATGCAACAATTTTTTCCCCCTGAGGGAAACCAATTTTTTGCTCCATTTGTGATATGGTCCCTTCTTTTCCACTGATCTGCTATGCGCCCTCTGCTGTATAAGAAACCTCTATATATTCATGAGTCTGTTTCTGAGTACTCTTGTTTTCTATTGCCTGTTTTTCTATTTGTGCCAATACCACACTGTTTTGATGTCTGTAATTTCATTGTGACCCTACTACCTGGGCAGGGCAAGTCCCCTCTCCTTATTCTTTTTTCAGTGATATCCTCGGCCCCTTACTCTTCCATGTAAATTCTAGAATCCACTTGTCAAGTTTCAGGGAAAATCCTGTTCTCTGCAGTGGTAAGAACTTACAGATAGATTTAAGGAGAATTGATAACTTTGTTATTAATTTCTCCATTTGCATAGATTCTCTCTAATATCTTGTAGTAAATATTTCAGGTTTCTCTCTCTAGATCTTGTCTGTTTTATAGTCACCCAGCTGTTCCTCATGCATAGTCGATCTAATGTGTCCCCCCGGTCCTCCTCACCCTCAGCCTTGTAGGCCCTGTCCTGGGAGTGGCCATGGCTGTGCTCACTGTCACGCCTCTGAACCCTGTCTGGGTCTCTGTCTACCCCTCACTATCCTCTCATGCCCTGCACTTCCCCAGGTGTCCAGATTCTCTCCAGACTCTGCCCCTTCGTCTACTCCACCTCCTTTGGCTTCATCGCCCTCTCACTTTATATATCTGGTAACTCATCCTGCTTCTTTAGGACTCAGATCTCAAGACACCTCTTCTGGGAAGCCTCCCCTGATGTCTTTCTCTCTCTCATCGGGGCTGCGTTAGATGCCCCCTTTGCTGTGTCCTCATAGCACCACGTGATGTCCTTTCTTAGAACAAACACAGCACACACACTCTTACCATTTCTCTCCCCTCTAGACATTGAGGAAGGGCCTCCACTCTGCCTCTCTGGCCCCTGCCCCAGATTCTCCTCAAGGTTGTCCCTTTAAAGGAGTCAAGAATCCAAGGACCAGCAAAAAAAAAAAATATATATACCAACCTGAGTTTGAGAGATGGGAAAACCCCACAAGTATCAGCAGCACCGCTGCCCCCTGGCTTTTCCCACGGGCTTGGTGGTTTTGTTTCTTCTATTTGGTGTCACTAATAGGCTTCTTTTGTGTATTGGATTTCCTTCAGGCGGCAAAGCAGAATTCAAGACCACTCAGCCCACTGCCTCTCAGCCAGCCCTGCTTGAGGGGTGCTCACTCCACAGGTCGTTGACTCAAGAAGACTCCAGGGTTTCCATGTTGGGGCAAGCCAGGGAACAGGAAGAGCCATCAGAAAAGCAGGAAGAGCACTTGAGGACAGGGTTGGTCCCGCTCAAGGAAACCCCCCTTGGAAAGATGAGCCCTGAATGTGATGATTTGGGAACAGGTGACAGTGTGTGCTCTAATGATTTCCAGGAGCTCGCCTCTCCAGGAGACACTCTGCATGAGTGTGAATCACATGGATCCAGGAAAGATCCCTTGATTCACAGAGGCAAGAACTCCTACAAATGCAAGGACTGTGGGAAAGGATTTACCAAGAATCGCCTCCTCCTTCGACATCAGCGGATTCACACTAAAGTAAAACTCTATAAATGCAGAAAGTGTGGAAAGGCCTTTCTCAAGAAGGCAGACCTCACTGAACACTACAGCATTCACATTGGGGAGAAGCCCTATGAGTGCATCGAGTGTGGGAGAGCCTTCAGCCGCAGGTCACACCTCACGGAGCACCAGCGGATTCACTCTGGAGAGAAGCCCTTTGAGTGCATGGAGTGTGGGAAGGCCTTCAGCCGCAGGTCACATCTCACAGAGCACCAGCGGATTCACAGTGGAGAGAAGCCCTATGTGTGCAGTGAATGCGGGAAGGCTTTCGCACACCCCTCTGATTTTATTCGGCATAATAGAACCCACACTGGGGAAAAACCCTTTGAGTGCAAAGAATGCGGGAAAGCCTTTTGTGACAGCTCTTCAGTAACTCGACACATGAGGTGTCACTCTAAGGAGAAGCCTTATGAGTGCAGTGAGTGTGGAAAGACCTATAGCTACAGCTCAACCCTTACTACCCATCAAAAGATTCACAGGGGAGTGAAATCCTACAAGTGTAAGAGATGTGGGAAGGCCTTTTATCAGAAAGGAGGCCTCAGTCAACATCAAAGAACTCACATTGGGGACAGACCTTTTTAAAGTAACGACTGTGGCAAATTGTGTGGCCAGAGGAAAAATGTGACTTGGCAACTGAGAGTTCATACCTAAGAGAACCGTGTCCTCCCTCCCATGCACAGTCCATGCTGTGACTGTGGCGTTACCTTTACCTTTAGCTGAGCCCTTGCACTGCGGAGGCTGGAGGCCACTCTCTCCCAAAACACAACTTAGTTCTCAGCAGAGTGACCTTCTTTTCACATGTGAGAGCTTTTGGCTATCACTTGGCCCACTCAGAGACCTGGGCCTCAGTTTATCCCAAAACAGGAGTGATGTGCATCCCAGTGGATGAAGGACCCCCTTCCCTCATGGTCCTTGTCTCCCCATCCCATTCTCTGTGTTCAGAGGGGCCTGCTGTGCTCCTGCTGGGATGATGGGCAGGAGTCGTGAGAACCCCATCCTTCATCCCCATTACCCGCACAGTATCCTGAGTTGTGGAGATACGTGGATGACTAAGACGTGGGCCTTGCTATCCAGAATGGGAAGCACACATGATAATGCAGAGGTATGGGGCAGCACCTCTGCTGCAGCGACCATAATGTGTCTGTGGTTGCCGTGCGGCGTGATGAAGAGCAGGCTACAACTTAGGCATGGAGGACAGATGTGCATTGGGGGCCATGGTCTGGTGACTAAGAGCTTGGACTCTGCAGAACATTGGGATTCGGATGCTTCTGAGCTGTGCCCTTCATCAGCTGGGTGACCTTGGTCATGTTTCCCCACAGGCCTTTCTTCTTGTCTATAGTGGTGAGAAGATGTACATTAAACTATAAAGCATCGAAAGAGGAGCAGACGGCATACACAGGATGATACCATGAAGACCCACGAGGGAAGGAGGAGCCCCAGCCACATTCAAAGATGGAGAAGAGCATTCAGGATAGAGGGAACAGCATGTGCCAGGACCCTGAGGCAGGCAAGAGCTAGGCCTGTTGGAGGAAAGAGCTGAAAGCCAGTGTGTCTGAAGGAGATATGTGGTGGGCAGTGAGATGAAGGGAGCAGGGCCAGATGCACAGGGCTTTGTAGGCCATGCTGAGAAATGTGAATTTTATCCTAACTGCTCTCAGAGACTGAAGAGGGATTCAGCAGGACAGTGGAATGATCTTACTTGTCTATTACTCTCCGTTTGGCTACTATGCAGAGAATGGACTGAAGAGGGTCAAGAACTGATGTGGGAGAGAGGATGGAGTCCATTGTGTGTTCCAGGAATGCGTTGACAGTGGAGTGGCCCGGGATGGTGGCATTGGAGATGGTGGGGAGAGGATGACTTGGGACATGTTAGGAGGCAAAGCCAACAGGATCTGTGAATAATCGGGATGAAGGGAATGACTTTCCCCCCTCAATCCTCAAGAGAGAGCCCTTTGCATCTGTGGGAATGTGACACATGGCCTGTCACTGCGTTCCAGTTTCTTGATTGGCACCTGGTGAGTGTGTTGATTGAGGGAGTGAAAGCTGAAGGCTCCTTTTCTTGGATGTGGAAAAGGCAGGGCTCCTCCTGCCCCTAGGATGTTTACATGGGCAGTTGACTTTTCCGTGGCCTTATTTCTCTGACCCAGAAGGGGCCCTGACCCTGATCAGCCTAGATGGCTTTGGGCAGGAGGCCGTGTAGGACAGCAATGAGACCTGCATCACTGCAGGCCCCGTTCTCAGCTGGCTCCTTACCGGTGGTCATGTTTCAGGGCAACTCAGGGACCTTTTGAGTTCTCGATTTCCTTCTTTGTAAACTGGGCGATCTAATGACCATTGGAAGCCTCAGCTTCATTATCTATGAAACAAGAGAGTGTTGACTGACCCACCTCACCAGGTTGTTGTACAGGTTAAAGGATAGTGCTGTAAAATGCCTGTCATGGTGTTGGGTAGGTAGATATGCTTACATGTCAGCTATTGTTAAACTGATTGTCACTTATATGTTACCCCTTTGTGCCATCCTATTCCTTCCTCATCGGGAGATGTGCTGATGGGATTTGCTGGTAAAAATAACTGCAGGTCCTGATGACATCTCAGCTGATTTTCGGCCTTAAGAAGCTTACTCATGGGTTCTGGTGACCTTCAGCTTAAGGTCTTGTTCCCCACCAGCCAAAGCCGGGGCATTCTTCTCCACTCCCTGGTTTCTTTCCCATTGGTGGAGATGGGGTGGCTGAGGATACCATGGAATGTTAGTTGTACTTTGAATGGAAATTCAAAACCTGCACTTAAAATTTATTGATGAAAATTCAATCCCTTGTGAAGGGAATTTTGAGCCATCAGAAAGTATTAACTGTTAATTTATTCCATACTTATTTAATGTAATAGTTGATATATTTGGGTTTAAATATGTCATCTTGTGGATTTCTTTGCCTCACCTGTTCTTTTTCTGGTCCTTTAAAAGTAAACTTTCTATTAATTTCTTACAATCCAGATTTACCTTTTTCTAGTTTGCATAGCATATACTCTGATTCTGTTTGCTGTTTAAGCTAAAATCTACAAACACTTAACTTAAAACAGTACAGCACAGAGCTATAAATACTTTTTCCTTCTTCCCAAGCAATATAAGGAACTTAGAAGATTAATCAATATGTTGTATCTCAGTATATGTGTTGAGACTATGCATGTTAATTCCACCATTCTAACTCCACAAGGAAATATTATTCATGTTTAATGCAATAATAAGCAGTTATATCAATCCACATACGCATTCCCTTCTTGGGTTCCTCATTCCTTCTATCATTGCAAATATTTCATCTAGGATCTCTTTCCAAAGTCCTTAAATAGAACATTTAGGATTTCATTTTATGTGTTAATCTTCCATTAGATTTCTCATTTGGGCTTGAAATGCCTTACTTCATACTCTTTCTTGAAAGACAGTTTTGAAATTTATAGAAATTTAGGTTGGCAGGGTTTTATTCTTCAGATCCTTGAGTAGGTCCTTCCACTGTGTTCCAGAACCATAATGATATTGGGAGTGAATGGCAACAAGTAACTTATTTTGTTGTGTAGCTTTCTGGTCTTAGGTCAGGAACAGAAATACACTAAGATGGAGGCATGGGGTTTGGGATTATCACCCAAGGGTAATGGTGAATGTGTAGGAGGCATAATAAAATGGATATCTGATGGATTAAATTAGAATCTGGGTAAATGCTCTCCAATCCAATTCTCTCTTTTTGGACACCCAGCTTTGCTTACATGGGTCAAGCTCCCTTAAATGAGCTTTGGGCACAGAATATAGGCAGAAGTGATTGTGGAATTCTGTCTTCGTTGTGCTTCCTCAGTTGTGCTGCTCGGTGGGGTATCTCTTTGGCCTTGGTGATCTGAGTTTCCATACTTGCCCAGGATTTAGTGCTCTCTTAGGAGCTGCAGGTTCACGCTAGGGACTAATGGCCTGTGGGGTGGGGCCTTGTACGTGCATTTTTAACAAATTCCCAGGTGATGCTGATGCTACTGGTTTGGGAACCACAGAATTAGAGCACCATTTAAAGTGAGTATACTTAGACACTGGCAAGCAAGTTATCATCTTTTTATAATCTATTTTTAAATCTTTTTATTATGTTTTTTAAATACAGTATTATTAACCACAGTCATGCTGTACATTACATCCCCAGGACTCATTTATTTTATTTTACATATATTATGTTTTTTACTTATGTTTTTTCCCTGAGGATCTGAGAGGTTGGAGAGGCTTGCCTAAGGCTGCCTCCTATTGGCAGAGGTCTCCTGTTGGGAGATCTCTCTGGATGGGGCTTTGCCCAACGTAGCCACAGAAATCTGGGCGTGGTCCCTGTACTTACAACCATAGAGTATTATTTCCCATTCTCCCTCGAGGTGCTGTTTGGCCGTTGCCGGAGAGAATGGGAAAGGCCCACCCAAACGTAACTGGATGACCTACAGAAATTACACTACCCAGAAGGCTGTGCGTGTCCGATGGCGGCGGGCGCTCGTCCAATGACGAGCTAGGGGAGGGACGTCTCCTGGGGCCCACGCGGGTGGAGCGGGACGTACGATGACATCATAGCGGCTGTGGTGGGTCTGTCCGCGCAGGCGGTGGAGACTGGGGCGTTGGGCTGGGGCGGCTTCCCGGGTTGCTCCTGGGACGCAGTGAAGGAGGGGACGAGAATAGGACTGCCCTCAGCGCCTTTGCACGAACCGCGACCGCCGCCTGGCCGCGCACTTTTTGGGCCCCGCGCCTGCTCTGCTTCCGCTGGGAGGTGGCAGTTGGGCCTGTGTGTCTTTCACCTGAGGGAAACCGAGCCAAGTGCGGGTCAGCCAAGGTCACGCCGGGCGAGATGGGGAGTCGGCTAAGGTCGAGGGACCCACCCGGGTCCCCGCGCAGTGCACAGGGTCCGATGGCGGTCACATTGCTGGTCCGGGCGCCGGTAGGTGGACTGGCTTCAGGCCGCTAAGCCGCTGGGACCCGCGCCCTAATGGTCCTAGGGCCCGGATGTAGAGAAGGCTGTTACCCTCGGGCTTTTCGCCTTCCCGTCTCCCTGCGCTTGAGTTTGGGGTCTCCAAAGGTGAGTCACTTCTGGCCCATGGTCCTTAATCAAGACCAGGAATTATACGGAGCGCTTCCTATTTGTGAAACCCAGTAGGATGAGGTAAGGAAAGGCTTCCAGGCACAAGACCCAGCACGTGCATACGCTAGGATGTGGCACGGAACGGGAGTGTTCGTGAAACTGCAGATCTCTGCTGTCTGTTGCGCCGAGAGAGCAGGTGGGCAGAAATCAGTGCTGGAATGGCACGTGAGGTGCTGGGCCTTTATTCTGAGGGTGGAGGGAGCCATAGAATGTTTAGAGCTGAGGAGGGAGGCACTCTAACTCAGGTCTTTACAGGCTCCCTCTGGCACAGAGGGGAAAACAGACTGTGGGGGTGAGGGTTGGTTGTTTCCCTGGTTTTCAACTAGCCATATTTTCCTCTGATAAAACCCAATAATTCATCTTTTATTTTTACCTATTTTCTGAATTTGATTTGCTGTATAAGGATTTTTTCACCTGTGTTAACTAGGAGTATAGTTCTGTAGTTTTTTTCTTGTGCTAAGTTTTTACATAAGTTATGTCGGCCACTTAAAATGAGTTGGAAAACGTTTGATCCTCTATTTTCTGAAAGGACGTCTTATTGTATTACTTATTCTGTAAATGTTTCCTAGAACTCACCGGTGAAACTGCTTAGGCCTTTAGTATCTCTCAGCAATGTATGATAGTTCCTTTCACTTCTTGAACATATTACATTTATTTCTAAATGCTTCGTATTTTGATGCTTTTGTAAAGGATTTTTTTTTTCCAATTTCCAAACATTCATTGCTAGTATATAGAAACAAATAATTTTTGTATATTAGCCTTTTTTTATACTGGGACTTTACTAAGTTCAATCATTAGATGTAGGAGCTTTTTAATGAATCATTTAGAATTTTCAACATAATGTTGTATGTGAATAGACAGTTTGGGTTCTATCTTTACAATTTTTAGACTTTTTTTCCTTATGTCACAAACACATCTCTAGTGCAATGTTAAATACTTTGAGTGCTTTATCTGATTTTAAATCTACAAAGATTTCACAAGACTGGATATTTAAAAGGCTTCACAAGCCTCCAACAGCACACTCAGATAAGGCTTTTATTTACCAGCAAAGATAAAGTACCATAAGAGAAAAAGAATACAATCCCAAATGCACAATCAATAAAAGAAAAAAATGGATAAATTGGACTTCATGAAGATTAAGAAATTCTACTCTAAGAAAGATATTAAGAAATGAAAAAAAGAGACAGCCCCGATGGCCTAGTGGTTAAAGTTTGGTGCTCACCGCTTCAGCGGCCTGGGTGTACTTCCCAGTCATGGACCCACACCAGCAATCTGTCAGTTGCCATGCTGTGGCAGCAGCTCACAAAGAACTAGAACAACTTACAACTAGGATATACAACCATGTACTGGGGCTTTGGGGAGGGAGTAAAGAAAAAGACTATATATATATATATATATATATATATATATATATATATATATATTTTAATGAAAAAAAAAAGCCATAGACTGTGAGAAAATACTGGTAAAGCATATATCAAATGAGGAACTTCTATCCAGAATATATTAAAAAATCATAAAACAATTCTTTTAATAACAGGCAAAAATATGCACAGATAATTCACTGAAGAAGATACATGGATAGCAAGTAAACAGGGAAAAATGCTCAACACTGACCATTAGAGAATGCAAATTAAAACTATAATGAACTACCACTATACATCTACTAGAATGGCTAAAATGAATAGCCCACATCTTACACACAACAGTCAACAAGGATGTGAAAAAACTGAAAATCTAATATACTCCAAGAGGAAATGTGAAATGGCATAACCACTTAGAACACAATCTGGCAGTTTCTTAAAAAGTTAAATATTTGGACCAGCTTCCAGCATGACAGTGTGAGATGCTCTGTGGGCCTGCTGCCCATTAAAACTGGTGAAAATTATAAAACACAATTTAAAGTCTCTGGAAATGGTCCTAAGGGTATACAGCAGATGAAGAAACATTTATTCAAGAAAACCTAATATTCAGTAAAAACAGCAAGCACCAGTCGCACTTGAACCAAGACCACTCCCTCTCTCCTCCCTCCAAACTCAGACAGATGAAAACATCACTCCAGCCTGATACAGCCAAGAACACAGGGCTCTCTCTCCCTAGAGGTCCCAGGCAGAGCGCTATCTTCTGAGGAGGGGCAGGATGTCAGCAACTCTCATCCTGCAGCCAGTGTGCATATTTGGATGAATGATGTTCACTTGCTGGCTCCCTCATAAAGGCTACTCACAGAGCTTCTCTGTTTTAAGTTAGGCTGACTAGGAGACAGCCCATGCTCTGCACTCCTAAGGCCTTCCTCCAGTCTGAACTTTATGGTGCTGAACAAGGTGAAGCCTTTGGCTGAAGCCCTTCTTCATGGTCACTGTATTCTTATGGCCTATCTGAGTTGTGAAGTTTCTGTTGATGGATCAGAGCAGACCTTTGGTTAAAGGCTTTTCTACATTAGCTGCCTTCAAGACTTTTCTCCGCTGTGAACTTTCTGGTGTTGAATGAGGTTGAAACGCTGGCTAAACGATTTTCCACAATCACTGCACTCATAAGGCATTTCTCCAGTGTGAATTCTCCGATGTTTAACAAGGCTGGAGCTGTGGCGAAAAAATTTCCCACATTCCCTGCACTCATAAGGTCTTGCTCCAGTGTGAACCCTCTTGTGTTTAACGAGGCTAGAATTCTCGCTAAAGAATCTTCCACATTCATTGCACTTAAAAGGCTTTTCTCCAGTGTGAACTTTTCGGTGTTGCATGAGGCTAGAGCTTTGGCTAAAAAATTTCCCACATTCACTGCACTCATAAGGCCTTTCTCCAGTGTGAACTCTCCAATGATTAATAAGGCTTGACTTGTGGCTATAGAATTTCCCACATTCACTGCACTTATAAGGTCTTTCTCCAGTGTGAACTCTCTGATGTTTCATGAGGCTTGAGTTAAAGCTAAAGAATTTCCCACATTCACTGCACTCATAAGGCCTTACTCCAGTGTGGATTCTGTGATGCTGAACAAGTGTGGAATTATGCCTGAAGGCTTTTCCACATTCACTGCACGTAAAAGGCTTTTCTCCAGTGTGAACTCTGCGGTGTTGAATGAGGTCGGCATTGCGGCTAAAGGATTTTCCACATTCACTACACCCATAAGGCCTTTCACCAGTGTGAACTATTTGGTGTATAAAAAGGTTAGATTTATGGCTAAATAGTTTCCCACATTCACTGCATTCATAAGGCTTTTCTCCAGTGTGTAGTCTCTGGTGCTGAACAAGTAAGTATTTCTGACCAAAGGCTTTCCCACATTCGCCGCATTTGTAATGCCTTTTTCCAGGGTGAAAGGCCTCCTCGCTTTCAGTGCTCCTGTATGACTCCCCTCCGCTGTGAGCCAGCTGATGCCTGAGAAGACCAGAGGTAGTTGGGGAGTCCTTCTCACCCTCCTCTGTCTCTTTTCTTAAGAGTTTCTCTCCACAGTGCAGTTTCTGGTATTGGTGAAGCTTTGCTCTGAGGACTCCTACATAAACACTCTGCTCAGAAGGTGCCTCCTCAACCTCTGCTCCATGCCAACAACCTGAAAGCAGAGAAATGCTGATAAAGTGTACGTAGACTTCAGCAAGAGGGGGAAGCACCCTCACAAATGTGTCTGACACACCCAGTAATGAGTCCCTGGCATTGCTGGCAGAATGAGGGACCTGAGGTCAGGGTGAGGAAGGGTTCACTGTGTGGTGCTGGACCTGGCAAGCTCACAGATCAGTGGGGGGCTCAGGAGCAGCAAGAACATAGGATGGAGTGCAGCTCAGGGAGGAGAGGCAGGGTCTCCAACACATTCCTCTGCAAATGACTGTCAGCAGGGCCTTAGCTGCTGGTGACAGAGGAACACAGTGCAGAGGGGTGTATCCAGGCCCAGAAAAAAATAGAATGCAAAATGGCTGGTATTTGAGGACTATTTAAGGATATGCCCATCTCATGACACATTCAGTGAAAGCCTGTATCACAACCTTTCATGTTCTCCTGCTGCCTCAACATCCCCATAAACAGGCTGTGAACTATGCAACCAGGTGCACCAGTGTGATAGCTTGGAGCCCTGCCACAAGTTCTCCCTCCTGCCCTCCTGACTCACACCTAGTGCCATTCAAATTCACTAATGAAATCCCCTCAAACCTTTTCTTGTGTACCCTACCCTGACTCCCAATAAAAGCATTTACCCACAGGTCCTCTCAACTTTTCCCCTGCTTGGTTGAGCCTGCTTCCTTCCAGGTGACCCACTCCTGGCATGCAATGACTCTCTCTGTGTCTCTGGGACCTGTAAGTATAATAAACAGGCCTCGCCTCTGTCTCTTGTGGTGACTGTACCTAACTGACCAGCTCATTAAAAAAAGAAAAAAAATGAGGGGCTGGCCTGGCGGCATAGCAGTTAAGTTTGTGTGCTCCACTTCAGCAACCTGGGGCTCACCAGTTCAGATCCCTAATGTGGACCTTCACACCGCTTATCAAGCCATGCTGTGGCAAGTGTCCCACGTATAAAATAGAGCATGATGGGCACAGACGTTACTTCACGGCCAATCTTCCTCAGCAAAAAGAAGAGGTTTGGCTGCAAATGTTAGCTGAGGGCTGATCTTCCTCAAAAAAAAGAAAAAGATTGGCATCATGAATAGGATAGTTTAGTCACCAGCAAGGGTGGACACAGGAGATGCCCCTTAAACTGCCTGGCTTATGAACTGGCTGTCCCTGTTGGGTTCTACCATCTGGGAAGGCTCAGTGTCACATTGGCACTCGCGTGTGCTGCTCTGACTGCTTTGGGTTGTCTCTCTTAGGCACTGCCAAGGCGTTCCCTCCTTGATTGTTGATTTCATCCTCCAGATTACCCCAAGACTCCACTTCTGGCCAGCCCTGACTCGACAAGATGGGGAGAAAGGTTATCCCAGCACTCCCTGACTAAGGGACAGACTGGCATAATTAGCTAAAAATATTATGAAGGTTCTGCTGAGAATGGACGAGTGACCTCCCTGCAGCCAGTAAAGCAACACTGGGTCTCAGGTGCAGGCTGTTAGCTGATTTGTCAACAGATGAGGGCTGGGTAACCTTTGGGAGGTCACTCCTGTGAACTAGTGGCACCACGACTGGGAGCTTCCTCATGTTCATGTTCCTCCTCAGTCCTAACCTGGGGTGCTGCATCCCCCTCAAGAGAAGTCCACCACGGCACCCTGTGAGGGTCGATGTGCTGGCAACTCCTCCACTACATGTCTTGTTGCTGTCGCTCTTTGTCTCCTGATCCTATGGGTATCCTGGGTCCCATCCCCAGAAATCAGTGGCTCAAGATCTTATGGCCCTGGATCTCAGCAGGAACATTTAATTTCAGCATCTCCCAATAACCAGAGGAGGTTAGCCAATTGTTCAAGAAAGATAAAACATCAATGCAGCATTTCAGGGCTCCACTTAGTGGTGCTGCCTATCAACATGCCAACTACTGCTCAGCTCCCCAGGTCTAGGAGCAATCCCCCAAGGGGATCGGGCCACCATAGCTCCCCTAAAGGGACCCCGACCCAGCTGAGGTCACTCTAGAGAGGGAGGCTGCTGCCTATGAGATGGGCTACAAGAAGGAAGCATTCAGGGTCTTTCCAGACCCAGAGGGTCAAGAACATGGGAGTTCACAAAGAGTTACAAACTGAAATTCATGATTTCATGAGACCAGAAATCCAAATTATTCGTAAAGATTTCATTCAAAGAGATGGGGAAATGGGAGCTTTACTGAGCGTGCGTAGTACAGGCTTGCAGCTCCTGCTCACAGCCCCAGAGATGAGGCAGCTGCCAGCATTACTAAAGAGCCTAAGATACTTAATTTACTTAAAGCCCCTCTGGCTCTCCAAGTTCAATTCTCACATATTTTGGGGCTGAAGGCACCCAAGGAGGAAAGAGTGCATCCCAAATACCAGGGCAGGCATGACAGAGGCCAAAACTTTTGATAAGATTGTAAAAGCCTCGGACAAGGAACCGGGAACCTCTACCACCCCTCGGGATTCAGAAGCCCTGCCGTTACTGACCTGGATTTTCATGGCCCTGAGATGCCCAGTGGAAAACTATCAAGGAAGCACAAATGTTCCTCTGCAAAAACTGGATTGGTTCAATGGATCATTCAGTTCTTTGGACATTCAGACATTCAAGGAAAACTCTGAACATGTTTCTAATCTAGAGGAAACCCCTTTGTCGCAGATTCCAGGAGTAGTTCTTGCAGGCACCCTTCTCAGTACAGGGCAGCGTTGCTTGTCAGCATGTCCCACACCAAACAGGAGGCCCTGGATGGAACTGATCTCCTGACGTGCCATGAGAGCTCTGCCCACCCTGACTCAAATTCTCACATCGCAGCTGCCTCCTGCTGCTCAGGCATCCCCCTCACCCCAGCATTCAGCCTGCTCCTTCTTTCCCTACTTGGTGACACCCTCTACTGCCTCCAGGTGATTCAACTCGTGCCACTTACTGACAACTGAGAGACCCCAGTGTGCCTCATGAACCAATTACTAGGCAAGCCATCCCCAAATTACAACTAAAGGAGATAATATTAAAAGATCCTCGCCCATTACCCACAGGTCTGGTGGCTGAGGGAACCACTCCTCCTAGTCCATCCAAGGAGGCCTCCAGCTCCGAAACCAGCAAAGCCAAGGCCTCTCCAATGGAATTCAGCCAGTCTCCAGGCCTTGTCGCACCACCCAGGGACAGTCACCCATATACAACTCTAGTAGTTGACTGGAACTCTAAAAACAAACATTTCCTATCTTTACTGGATACAGGAGCCCACGTTACCATCATTCCAGGCAACCCATTCAAATTTAGAGATACCCCTTTTAAATGACAGGGTAATGCCGGTAAAACTATTCATGGCAAACAAATTGGAATAGATGTCAATATTGCAACAATCTATATTGAACAGCTGCCCATCAGTAACCCATAATGCTTTGAGTTTTCCTCCTACAGACAGAGATGCCATTGCAGGCCATGGACAATGCTGCGACAAGTCTAAGTTCCTGGCCCTGCTGGTCAGAACTACAAAGTGAGAACCTGTGGGGCTGCCCCTGCTGGTGGTGACGGTAATAAACATGCCACGATATCACCTGAAACAAGGTACTACTGGCCTTCAGCCAGTTGTTCCAGATCTACTACAAGACAGGGCGATTATTCCCACTCTTTCTTTCAGTAGTCCTATGTGGAGGGGCTTAAAGGCTTCTACCAACAGTGCACTTAACCATGGATTACTGAAACCTGAGCTCAAGTTCCCCCATCAAGGCTCTAGTACCTAACATAATCAGAGTAACCGAAGATATCCAAAGGGCACCCAGTGACATGCAGATCTGGCCAATATATTTTATTCATTGCCTATTACCGATCAGCCATAGTCCTGGTTCCCCTTTACATCTAAAGGAACCCGACACATTTACCGAGTTGTCCGTGAGTAATTTAAACAGCCCGGCCACTGCCCACAATTTGTACTGCCAGGACTTGGATAGGGCCCCCCAAGCCCTCGTTCGCTTACACCACCCACCTTCATTCCCAGCCGACTCACCGGGATGGCTGCACATTACAATCGAGTCACCCCCAGGCTTACTGCTTGTGCCCAGGAGCCAGCCACACTCGGCCATCCCCCAGGTGAGGGCCTTCACCCTCCTTACGATAGCCACCTCATGGGCACATTATGCCTTAAATAACAGCACCTTTGGATTCTACTGTGGCCCAAACTCATGGACACAGCCTCTTACATACTTTTCCCTGCCAACTCCCAATGAAACTGTACCCCAGTGGGCAGTGGTTACACTGAGGGTCCCCACAGTTCTCTATCCACCAGTACCTCCCCTTTTCTATCAACCCAAGGAGGCCAGTAAAACGGGCAATATTTGTTCCCATCTTAATAGGACTTGCCATAGCTGTAGGAGCCGCCAGCAATGGTGCCAGTACAGCAGCCATTGTCAAACAAGGTCAAATCCTGACTGCCAACCAGCACCTTTTGGCAGCCCTCTCAGAGCACAGACAAAGGCTGCACCTGTGCAACAAGCCCATGAGCATCTAAGCCCAAATGGTCATGGATAACAGACAGGCTCTTGACTGTTTACCAGCCAGGAAAGGAGGCGTCCGTGCCATCCAGGGTGCTTCCTGCTGTACATACATTAATTCTGCAGCTACAGGCCAAGCTATGAGGATGAGGCCAAGAGGTCAAAATCCCTCATAGCATAACAAAAACCTTCCACCAGATTCCCTGAACCCCAGAGGTGCCTGTCCTGTTCTCTTGGCTTTCCCCTACTAAGTGCAGTGCCTGGCTGTCGCCTGACCCCATCAAATGCATAGTAGGACTCCTCTTAGTTGTCACCTTTGTCAAAGCTTGCCTTCGGTGGCTAGACCAAGCTATTCCAGTCACCTTTAACATCCACTACCCAGGTGGCAAATGTTATCCATCTCAATTAGTATTGTTAATGGTCTTGAGGCACCACAGGGTCAAGTATATTATAACCTTTAAACCTTCCTATCTTCCTGCTGCCTCAACATCCCCACAAACAGGCTGTGAGCACCCCACCCAGATGACCAGGTGCACCAGTGTGAAGGCTGGCCCCTGCCACGCTTTCCCCTTCCTGCCCTCCCATGACTGTGACCTAGTGATGTTCAAACGTTCCAGTGAAATCCCCTCATGCCTATTCTTCTGTTCTCCCCACTGACCCCCAAAAAAGCACCTGCCCCCAGGCCCCCACACTCTCTCTGCTTCCCCCCCGCCTGGTTGAGCCCACTCCCTAGGAGCTCCCACATCACCCTCCTCTCAGTGTACAGTGACTGTCTCTCTGGACCTGTTGACCATAATAAACTTTGGTTTTTTTCCTGAGCTTCTCCTGTGTTTCCTCTTGTGACTGCACCTCACAGACCATGTCATAAAAGAATACAAAAGAAGGCCACTGTTGGAGAGGGCTGCAGAGGGAACAGTGGGGAGGCCAGGGGAGATGTGGAGGGCAGGGAGGTGGGGGATAGCCCTGGGTCAGCAAGCAGAGCAGACAGGATATGTGGGTGACTGGGAAAGGAAAGCTGGAAACCAGCTGTGGCCCCCAAACCTCAGGGCCCCCTAGCAAGACTCTTGGTGTGATCTGAACCCAACCCTGAGTTCACACCTCTCCTCTCCTCCCTCCAAGTACCTCTTGGCATTGCTGCAGTCATGACTCCACAGGCAGGCACAAAGGGCTCTCCCCACCGCTCCCACTGGGTAACTTCATGGGTCCTGGAAGATGCAAGTCCTAAGGGAGAGACAAGACAAGTGGGTCAAAGTGACCCACCCCACAACAGACCACAGGAAAGAAAACTAAATATGACAGCAAGAACCTTGGAGGAGAGTCTTGCAGAAACAATCCAGTCAAGCAGTGGCCATGTTGGTGGCTCAATTCCTGGCAGAGGCAGATCCCATATGTCAGCCAGAGGAAGAGGGCAGAAGCCGGGGCACAGAACTGCCACGGATCTTCACGGCATTGCCAGGCCAGGGAGAGGCCAACACGGTGTCATGCATTAGGCTTTGGGGCAGCTTGGGGAGAGGAAGGGCAGTGCACACAGCCCAGGCTCTCACAGCACCTACTCCAGGACACTGAAAAGGAAGCAGGGCCCGCGGCCCAGCTTTGGGAAGGACACACCCGCCCCTGGAAAAAAGGGGAAGAGCAAAGCCCAGCCCAGGATGCTGGAGAGGGCTGTGAGGACCTTACCCAGAGAGGCCATCAGTGCAAAGTTCTCCAGCATCACATTGTGGTATAGGAGTCTCTGGCCTTCATCAAGGAACCCCCACTCCTCCCAGGAGAAGTACACAGCCACATCCTCAAAGGTCACGTGACCCTGCCAAGATGGAGACAGTTAAGTTTATGTACAGCCTCCTTTCCCAGGACTCTAGGCATCCCCCCAAACATCCACCCTCCTCCCTGACTCCCCACCTCAGAGCAGGTACCAGGCCCTGGTGCCACTGAAGCCTGTTCTCTCCTTGTCGTCCCTTTAATCACTGTTTTCAGCCCTCAGCAACAAGAGGCAGTGGGCAGAGAGATGTCATCTAACCTCTGGGCCTGGCATGCAGAGCCTCACCCTTCTGCCAGACAATTCACCTGGGGTCCCCCTGATTATGCATCCCAAACACAATAAAATTTGGGTCGCCATTCTCCCTTCAGCGCCAGTACAAGGGCCTGGGGCCATCTGTTGACCTCCCTTCCCAACATGCACCTCACTATTTGTACAACACTTCCCTTCACATCCCCGACCCCTCACTGCCACCACCACCCCCTACACCATATCACATATCTCCCTGGCCTCACCACATGCCAACGAGCACATGATATCCAGAGGGTGCTTGGCAAATGGGGTCGGAATCCCATCGTGTCCCAGACTTCCAACGGCCCTGACTGCCAGGGGCAACGCACAGGCCTGTTTTGAAGGCCTCCCTACCTGGCCCTTATTCTTGCTTCATCCTCAGCCACCCAGAACCACACACGGATTTCAGACACCCTCAGCCCTCTTCGAGTTCTGTGTTGCGAAGGTGTCCCCTCACCAGCCTCAGCTTCCTCTGATCCAGGCCCACCTGTGTCGGACACCAGGCCTACTGAGTCTCCCAGAGGATCCCATTTGACCTTGAGCTAATCTCCAGGTCCCCGCAAGGGTCAGAACAACAGCCTGGAGAGCCCAGAGTTGGGGGATAAGCAGTGGCGCCAGCTTTACTGTCATCTCACTGCTTTGTCTCCACATCCATCTCATGTCCAGTCCTCATGGAAACTCTGGCTGCTAGCCAGATCCTCCTCACTCCTACACCCCCTCCCCTTGGCCACTGTTCTCCCTCATATATCTTTGTGAAGCCCACCACCTCCATGCAGGTGTCTAGCAAGAGACCCAGTCCTTGGCCCACACTCCCTTCCCTCGTTACCTCCTAGGACCTGAAGATGCCCCCTGCCAAATCTTAGTCACAGTTCCATCCTGGTCCACACACTATCCGTATTGTGGGTGTCTCCAGTCTGAAGCCTACACCTGAACTCCACACTTGTCTAGGTGCCCACTTGACAAATCCACTCAACAGTCTCTGGAACATCTCAGTTCAACATGGCCAAAACCTGACTCCTAATATTCCCACTGAAAATGCTCTTACCACCAAGTTTGACATGGTGGTACTTCCCTCCTAGCTCCTAAGATCAGAGTCACCCCTGACTCCTCCATTTCTCTCTCGTCCTCCACATCAGAAAGTCTGCTCAGAGCTACTTAAAAAACAGACATGGACTCCAACACATCTCCCACTTCCACAGCCACCAATCTGGTCCAGCTACCACCAACATGCACCTGCCTATCGCAGTAACCGCCTCCCTGTTCTCCCTGCAACCCAGCAATCTGCTCTCTACTCTGCAGCAGAAAAAGCTTAAGTCTGGGTTGGATCACTTCCCTCCTCTGCTCCAAACCTTCCATGGCTCCCACCACCCTCAGAATAGAGGCCAGCTCCTCAGGCTACCATTCTAGCCTTAACTCCTGCTTCCTGCTGTTTCCATCAGACATAATGGAGACCTAAGGTTGCCTGAGCAGGCCCAGCTCAATCTCACCTCTAGTATTTTCTAATGTTGATCACTGTGAATGTACTATCTTCTAAATGCCATGCCACTGATTGCCAAAAATGGGAACCAAGCCACATAATCCCTGATCTGGACTCAGAGCCCCGACCTTGGGTGATCACCTTCCAGGGATCTGAGATGAAAAGGTAGGGAGAGTAGCAGACAGAGTCCCAGGACATCACAATCCTAGAGCCTATGAAGAGGGTGAGGATCTGGGACCCCCTCCACTTACCTCTGCATGGTATGGAAGTGATTCCGCAGCCACAGGAATCTGTGGGAAAGCAAGGCCGTGAGAAGCAGGCAACCCTGTTGGGCCCCAAAGGCTCATTCAAGCCCCTCACACTATCTGGGCCTGTGTCCTCAGTGATACCTCTTACCAGCTGCATGACCTTGGATGAGTACTCAACCTCCTCTGTGCCTCAGTGTTGTCATCTGTAAAATGGGGATAATAATGGTGCCCACCCACTGGGGCTATTGTTTGTATCAAACTCATTCCTATGTGCCAAGTACTAAGTATCACCCCTTACTGTCCCCATAATTAACACTTTTGTCAACATTTTCAGTGCAAATGAACTGGTAGGTATTGAAAACGTGGATTTTTTTTACGTGCCTTTTAACTAAGAGAATGTGATATTTAAGACATTTGATTTTAATAAAATGTTTAGCAGTATATTAAAATTTCAACCAATTATTAAGTGATTACATCAACTTAACTTGTTAAATCCACGTTATTTTAATTGCCTGTGTGTATACATACGTACATTTGTGTGTGTATATATGTATATGGAAATACATATATATATATATACTTTTATTAATTAGTACTTAAGTATTTCATAAACTCACAAGTTAATAAACTGGGAGCTTGGGCCTGAGGAACCCGAGCAGATCTTAGTCCTGTTGGCAATGTGGCTGCCTGCTGTACTATTCTGAAGGCAGTCTTGCTGGAGGCCTTTCCACTGCAGCAGTCGCTCATCCCTCCTGCCCTGAAGGCTGCGGGAACTTAGGCACCAAGGGGGTTCTCCACTAGCCTGGCTGAGCTTTCCTTTTCTCCACAAAGCGTAGACATGTGGGCCTGCTGAGCCTGGAGTGGGAAATCTACACCACGGAACATCTCAGTCTCCATCCCAGCCCTGGATCCTTACACCCTATAACCCTCCACTCCTGCACACACCAGCTAGAACCATTTTGGACCACAGGAATCCAGCCTTCCGGAGGCAGCCCCACCCTCCAGGCCCATCTGAAATAAAAACTTTAAGATTCTCCTCCTAAATATGAGCCCGACCTTGCCCTGGTCCAGGCCACTACCCACCATCCCTTGGATACCTCCAGCCCTCTCCGGAGAAATCCAGATGTGAGTGAGCAGACTACTCACTTGCTCACTCACTCACTCCTCTAGGTTATCTCAGGATTACCATGTCCAAAATCCCACTCCTAATCTTTTCCCTGAAACCTGCTCCCTGTGCCCACTTCCCCATCTCCATCCTTCCAGATAGAAAGGAAACAACAGACAAAAATGCAAATCGAAAAAAACGGGATGGTCCTTCATTCCCTACTTTCTCTCACAGCTACATCTGATGCAGCAGGAAATCCTGTCTGTTCAGTTTTTACAACCCATCAGAGATCTGATCATTCCTCCCCTCCCCTCCCCACCGCCACAGCTACCATCATGGTCCGGTCCCCACCAGAACTATTAGTCTATTGTACTGACTTCCTCACAGGTCTCCTTGTCTCCAACCTCATCACCCCTATCCCAGTCTGTTTTCCCGAGAAGCCTCTGGAACACTTTGAGAAACAGATGGAGTTCCTGTTCGCAACCCTCCGTAGCCACCAGCGCCCTCAGAAGGAAGGCCCAACCGCTACGACTGCCTTTCCACGTGTGACTCGTCCCGTCACAGCTGTTCCCTGCAGACCGGAGACAAACCTCAGGTTTAGGAGACGGGGCTCAGTCCCACCTCTGTGCCTTTGCATGGGCTGGTCCCTCTGCTTGCAGTTCTCCCACACACCCCCACCCACGAGCGCCCCACAGTCCGAGACCAGAAGCTTGAGACCAGAAGCTTGAGCCCGGGTCGCGCACTCGGAGCTTTGGGGTCGGGCTGTGCTGCGGCAGGGCGGCCCGGAGCCGAGCGCTCACCTGAGCCGGCTCCCTCCGCGCGGCCGCCGCCATCGGCCTCGGGGGGCGGAGCCGGGCCGGGAGCCGAGGACCAGGTCGGGCCCCGGGCATCCCCGTCCACGACTCAGATTCAGGGTCCCCCCGGGCGCAGCTGCCGTGCCTCAGACCCGCCTCTGTGCAGCGAGGACAGCGCCTGCCTCCTCTCGCGCCTTCCCGCTCTCGTCACCCGAGCCTAAAACCAGCTTTCCGGAGCCTCCGAAGAGACTGGCCGACCCAAGAGACCCCAAAATGACCGCCCCTTAGGCGGAGCCGGAAGTCCCGCCCAGCAGGGCGCAGCGCCTTCTGGGTAATGTAGTTCCCACAGCGCCAAACGTTGAGGAAGTGGACAGCACTCCAGAGACGCCGGTGGAGTGGCAGTCAGGGCCAAGAATTCCGCCAGACTGTCATTCAGAGACTATTCTTATTGTAGGTGGGCCTGGATTTCAGTTTCCCTGCGCAGATGTTGTTCCAGTCTTTCCTTCTCCTGAAGGACTTAAAGAGGATCTTCAGGGCCACAATAAAGCGGTTTCCTTGGACTGAACCAGTTAAATATTACCAAATCTCCCTTGGCAAGGGGACGCCCAACATCAAAGACAACGATGGTGAAACAATACCAGTTGTGTGAGAAAAAGAAAAGACTCTGAGTTCTGGATGTAGGTGGTGAGATAGTTGGGGATCCCAAGTGTTCACCTTCCTCCCTCTCCCCACAATCATTTGTGCCCTTTCCCTTCCTGAGGGACCAACATTGGGGTTCAGGAAGGACAACAGGCCTCAGACCTGTAAGCCAACACTCCTCTCCCCCGAGATTTCTCCTCTTCATCTCTTCCTAATCCGTGTTCCCACTGCCCTTTCATTTCCAGATACAAAGCCAACTCCCTTCAGGTGGGAAGGATGCTGGACTGTCATTGACACCAGGCAACTGTTGATAAAAGATGCCAACACTTTATTATGTGTTCTCCCACCACCTCCCTTACCACTGACTCCATTTCTTTCATATCAATCTTCACTTCCCCCATTCTTCCATCCCTTTCATCTGTGGGCTGAGCAGTGACCAACTTCATCACAGCCTTGGAATGACTCATGAGGACAAAAGATGATGAAGCATTCACTCCTTCTTGGAATTTTCTGGAACTAGGTTTTCAGTACTAACAGATTCTGGAAAGGAGGAGAGGATTCAGTATTGGAGTAGAGAATATAGGATGATAGAGTGAGACCCAAGGGACCTGAGTTATTCAGATAAGGCCACAATGTGGCATGTGAACGGAAGGGAGGGAGGAGACACAGGAGAGATAAACTCATCAACAGGTGTGAGATGAGAAACTCCTCCCTTAACCCAAACACAGGGAGACATGTATCACTTCCTTGAAATGACATCTTAGAACAGTAGATCTGGATCATTCACCCAATGGATTACTGATGGGCTATGAAAATGAGCTGACCACCATACCATGAACCATGTGGATGAATCTAGCAAACATGTTACAGAATCTACAAAATGTAGCAGAATGCATTCACTATAGTACAATCTGTGGAAAATTCAGAATCTGGCAATATTAGACAGTCTATCATTTAGGGAAATATAGATGAATGGCAAAATTATAAAGATATCAAGAGAATGATTATCAAAATGTCAGGTGACCTCCAGTGGGCCAGAAAAACATGTAAAATGAGAAAGGGATGGGGACACCTAAGAAACGTTATATATTCTGTTTTACGCTGGGTGATGGTTTTCTAGGTGTGGTCTTTATAAAAGAAAAAATCAATTTGCACATCTACTGTGAACATTCCACTGAATGTATGACAATTTTTAAAATAAAGAAAAAAAACTATGTAGACAGTTTAGTTTAGTCACAGGAATGGACAAATGGATGATTACAACAGACTAAAACAGCTTCACATGGGTGTGGAATTCGAAATAACATGGTCAGTGAGTAAAGAACAGACATCTAATCATTTAGTTTAGGTAAAGTGATTATCTACTGTCAGAAAATATACCTGGAATTTCTTTTAATCAGATATGGTAAGACACAGAGACACAGAAATGATTTTCATGAAGGAAGATGTTTATACTCAGACCTCTAGAAACAGGAGGCATGGCATGTCATGCAGGGCCACATGGGGAAGGACCAAGGTGGATCATGAGGCAGAAGGGAGAGAGGGAAAAGCATGGCCTACAGCCATTATTGGGGTTGTCACCGGAAGCAATGGGCGAGGCAGGTAGGTACATTGAGTAAGGGTGGAATTGGATAGTTTGAGTAACTGTGGTGGACTCTGGCTGTAGGGGTGGTGGGTAAGACTCATCAGCTGCTGCTCCTTCTGGGTGAAATATACAGGTCTGTTCCTGAAAGTGTCAATGTTTTGTTTACTCCAAGAAGAAGAAAGAGGTCTCCACTCACCTGTAGGAGAGCACTTGAGCAGAGAGCATGGGCTGCATGTCCGAGTCTGCTTCACGGTGGCTGTGTGGAACTTCAGGGAGCTGCTTTGCCTCTCCTGGATTTTGTCATAGATACAGTGAGGCTGACCACAGGGCCAGGTCCTGCATGAACGATGATAACTGACAATGGGGAAGATGTTACTAACCTCGAGCTCAAGTTTGAAGGGCGAGTCACAGGAAGGACTGAGGCCCTTTCCCCTCTGGCTACCAATGTTCTTCTGATCCACCCAAATTAGCCAAATAGAACTTGATTTGTTTTGAAACTACCTTCTGCCTGATGTGTGGAGAGTGAGCTAAGGCAGATCAAGAACTGGTGTTGGAGATGGGGCAGAGGCTGTTGTGTAGTCCGGAAATGTGTTGCTGGCAGACTGGCCAACAGGGTGGAGTTGGAGGGATTGGGAAGCAGAGGTGACAGGACACGCGGATGGTTGGAATGACAGGGCAAGGCTCAGGCAATGACAGTTACCCCCTCAAACCCTCTGTATCTATGGGCCGGCAGGGCTTTTCCCAGGAAACATGTTTAAAGAATAAATAAGGCTGAAGGCTAATGTTTCTGGGACACAGAAAAAGCAAGATTCATCCCTGTCCTCAAGTCAGTTACCTGGGCATTTGAATTTTCTGCAGCCTCATTTCTCCAACATAGAAGGGGCCAGATAGATGACATTGGGTAGGCGGCCGTGTTGGGCAGTGGTTAAAGTTGGGGCTCCGTGAACTCCATTCCCAGCTGTGCTACATGACAGCCATGACTGAGGGCAAGTCATGGACCCTTTGCAGGCTCAGTTTCCTCATATTAATCTGGGTGACAAATGCACCTCACAGGGCTGTCGTGCAGGTAAAAGGGCACAGGATTTGTCAAGCATCTGATGCAATGTTCAGGGCATGGAAATGCTAAATAAATATCAATTATTGGTATAACTATTGTCACTCATGGTGTTACCTCTTTACACTGTCCTTACCCCACCTCCACCTTACTAACCAGGAAAGCTGCCAGTAAGCCTGCAGATTTCTGATGACATCCCAGCCAGTTTGGTTTGGGTCAAGGGCATGGTAACCTTCAAGCATAAGGTCTTGGCTTCTCTAAAGCAAATTCTGGACATTCCCCATGATTCCCCATCACCTCATGATTCCTTTCCCACTTGCGGGATAGGGAATAGGGGAAAATACCACGTAATGTTAGCTATGCTTTCAATTAAAATTTAAAATATGCTGTGGAAATTAACTGAAGAAAAGAGAAGCCCTTATGAAGAGTGTTTTGGTCCATCAAAAATTACTGACTGCTTACTTGAGCATTTAGGTTTAAATATAAACCTAAACTCATTTAGGTTCAAATATATCCTACATTCTGTTTTCTTTACCTCACTTGTTCCATTTCTTTCACCATTGTTTTTACCTTTCTATAGATTATTTATTTATAATCCAAATATTTCTTCTTCTAGTTGGAAAAGTATATACTCTGATCCTATTTATTATATTTAAGCAAAAGTTAGAAACGATACATTAGAGTGTAAGGTTATAAATTCATTTAGTTCTCACTTGGAAATGTAAAGGGTTTAGAACATTAAGCAATTAGCCTCCTCTCAATGTAAATGTTCTGAGGTTATGCATGGCAATTCCATCCTTTTAACTCCAGAAAGAGATACATTCACGTTTTACACAGATAATGAGCAGTTACTTTAATCAAAAGATGCCCCTCTCTCTCTATCCTCATTTCTTCTCTAATCGCAGACCTTTCATCTGGGATCAGTCTTCTTTGGACTTGAATATTATGTTTAGAATTTTATTTTCTGTGGGTTTATTTTCCATTACATTCAGCATTTTTGACCTCAGATAGTCTTATGTCACATTTTGTTAAAAGATCTTTTGACTACGTATAGAAAGTTAGTTTCATGGTTATTTCTTTTGCACAGGAATGGTTCTTGTGCCCTCCTACTTGCCAAATGACAATTGATAAATCGCCCTTCTTTTCAGATATAATACCTAAAAGGAATTAAATACATCTCTGTATACAGAGTACTAAATACTATCATCTAACAGAGTGCTACTTGCTGGGTTTGACACAGTCACTGATTATACAGGCAGGAAAAATGCTTTCTGTGGTAACCAGAGACACGAGCATTGTCCACGTGCTTCAGAGGCGCCCAACATCCCTACTGTGGGCTCCACGTCGTAGTCCTGTCTGGAGTCTTTTCTCTCTTCTTCCTGACCCAAAATGCTGAGGTTCACAAAACTAACTCTAGAGCTTCAGGCTACTTGTGTAACATAACACAACATAATATTTATTAGCCTCCAGCTATGGAGGTCTGAGTGACATTAATATGTGGTGTGTTCATTTGGATTTTTGGTGAGCATTCCCTGCATAAAGAAACCTAAAATAATGTTTCTAGACGCTTCTGTGATATATTGCATTCTACGTTCACCAGAAATATAGGTGCGGCTCCTTTAAGAGGAAACGAAGCTCCGCCTGGTCCTCAAGGCTCGAGCTGCCCTTTTCAGGCGCCGCCAGCTATGTGGCTGGGCCCTTGCTCTGGAGACGGCGTAGTACTCCGCAATCCATCGTTGGTGCTGTAGGAACTACATTACCCAGGAGCCTTCGCGGCGCTCGGCCAATGAAGACCCAAGGAAAGGGGCGTTTCCGTTCGTGCGGAAGACAAGGCGGGACTTCCTGTTCCCGTCTTAGGCGGACATCTTGTTTGAATTAGGTTTAATCGGCTAGGTCCGTCTCGCGAACGCAGGTTAGGCCCGAGGTCCCAGGAGAGCGAAAACGCGAGGGAAGGCGTTGTCTCTCCTGAACGGAGGCGGGCCTGAGGCTTGGCAGGGGCGCTGCCAGGGTCACCCGGCCGCTGGAGCCCCTCCTCACACTTGTCGCCCGCCAGCCACTCCCCCTCTGCGCTCCCTCCCCAGTCCGCAGGTTCGGATGGCGGCGGCCGTGCGCACGGGCCCGGCGCAGGTGGGTGCTGCGCCCCGGTCCTCCCCTGACCTCCGTCTCTAAATCTTCAAGCCTCGAATGAGGGCCGCCTCGGCTCCCTGCAGTTCAGGGCCCTGTGACCAGACAGTGGGGCGCTGCTGGTTCGGTCCCACCTCTGACAGCCAGTACGATGGCATGTGGAAGGACGTTACGGGCAGAGGGGCCAGCATGTGCAGAGGCTCGGAGGTGCGACAGCTGGAGTATTCGGGAAATCTGGGGCCTTTGGTGTCTAACAGAGGGTGTGAGGAGTTACACCTGGAGTGTCAGCCTGAGCTGCTGTGCTCTCGTTCTGAGGATGATGGGAGCCGTGGATGGTTCTGAACTGAGGAGGGACACGATCTGAGGGTTTGAAGAGTATCCATAGATTGCTCAGGGGAGAACAGACTTGGGATGGGAGATGATGAGCACAGAAAGATTGAGACCTAGTCGGAGGTAACACAGCTGTTAGGTGGCCCTGAGGACTGACGCACAGAGGGCAGAGGTCATCCCTGGGTCTTTGTGGCAGGGCAGGTATAGGGGCTAGGCATGAGCCCTTGGGGCTCCTCCGTGGTTGCTTGTCTCTCACAGCCTCCCTCTTCCCACAGGTTCCCATGAACTCAGAAGTAATTATGGACCCTATATAGGTGAGGGGAGGAAGGATGTTCCTGTGTCATCAGTCCCACCCCCAGCCACGTGGTTGTCAGGATTGTAGTGTCATAGAACGCTTTACTTGTATTCTCCCAGGTCTTGAGCCTGAGGACCCTGGGGAAACCCCAAGCCCAGGGTTCTAAGTCGAGGCCAGGCATCATATGGAAGGGTTCCCATTTCTGGTAACCTTTGGAATGAGGTGTGGAAGGTTGTTCCGGCAGAGGAACCAGTGGGTGCAAATACTTGAAGGTGAGACTGAGATGGAAATTTTCAAGAAACTAAAGGTCTCCACCATGTCTGGTGGGAATCAAGAGCGAGTGGGCAGGAATCAGGCCTGAAACGGCCAGCTGATGAGCTAGGCCTCTGTTCTGAGGGTGGTGTAGTCACGGGAGGTGTGGAGCAGAGGAGGGAGGTCATCTGATCTGTCTGTCTGGGTGCTAAGTGAAGAACAGACTAGGTGGTGAGGGTTGAGGGAGTTATGGTGGAGACCAGACCAGGGAGGAGACTGCTTGAATATTCCAGGTGAGTGGTGGTAATGGACGGGCCAGAGGGGCAGCTGTGTAGATGGGAAAAGTGATTGGATCAGATTTTCAATGTGAGAGAAAGAGATAACCCCAAGGTTTTCGGCCTCATCAGCTGGCAGGGTAGAGGTTCCATCAGCTGAGATGGGCAAGTCAGTGGTAGAAGTAACTCTGTGTGTATCTCAGGAATTTGTTTTGGTCACGTGAAGATTCTGAGATGTTCCAGAGAACACTGAGTGGAGGTAGCAGGTGAGTTGCTGGACACAGGACTAGAGTTCTCTTTAGGAGTTCAGGATGGAGACATGCAAAAGGTAGAAGATGGTGTATAGGCAGGTTTAGGAGAGAAAATGTACACATCACAACGGCAGTGCATTTAGTGAGCCAGGAAGGTGATGGTGGAGGCCAATGACTAGGTCTGGGGCCAGGGTTGTGAGACAGAGAGTGATCCAAAAGAGTGATGTGCATGTGGAAAAAAGTATGAACTGATGGTCCCTAGGTCCTGGTATTGGGGGCTGAAGGGAAGAAGGGTGAGCCCAACTTTGGTTGTCTGGTAAGCATGATCTTAGCAACCCAGAAGAACTAGCTGGCAGGAGGTGTATGTAGGGGGTGTTCAGCCCTGCATGCTAGGCCCAGAGCTTAGATGTTCCTTTCTGCCCACTTGCCTGTTGCTGTGGTAATCAAAGGGATCATAAGCAAAGAGCAGACACCTGTGGCACCCAGTTCTGGCATTTCCTCTTGAGTTGAGGAGTTAGGCAGGAAGGAATGCAGGAGGGAGCTGGAGGGCGGGGGAGATGGGTATCCTTGGGAGAGAAGTCCTCATGGACTTGGCTGTCCCCGTTGTGGCAGGGGCAGGTGAACTTTGAGGACGTGTTCGTGTACTTCTCGCAGGAGGAGTGGGGACTCCTTGATGAGACTCAGAAGCTCCTGTACCGCGATGTGATGCTGGAGAACTTTGCACTGATGGCCTCGCTGGGTAAGGCTGTCATACCTACCCCAGTGTCCTGGACTGGGCTCCGCCCCTTCCCCATTTCCCAGGGGTAGCACAGCCCTTCCTGTATTAGAGCCACGGATACTGTGTCCCTCTCAGGTTCCTTGGAGTAGATGCTGTGGATGCCAGGCATGAGCTGTGTCCACTGCCACCTCTGACTCCTGAGCAGTCCTAACAGCTGCTGCCCTGTAGGCTTGCATGGATGGATCCAGGACTGAGGCATCTTACAGTCAGCCAGTGGATCATATCCAGCTTGTCCTCTCCCTGACTGAGTGCCTCTGTCCAGATCCATGACCCCTGTGCTCCAGGTTCTGTCCCCTTCCTCTTGCTGACACTTCTGATGGTCTGCCTCTGTCAGAAATTGCAGGGACCTTTATGGTCACTACTTGTTGGGACCCCTGGGCTATTCCTGCAAAACTCTACTTTGAGGTTACTTTTATAATATTTAATTTTCTTCTCTGAGGGGTGGGTCACTCAGACCAGTGCTGACCATTTGCTTGTCTTGTCTTTTCCTTAGGAAATGCATCTTCCATGTCCCGTGAGGTCACCCCACTAGAGCTGGGCAGTGAGCTCTGGGTCCCAGACTGGGCGGATGGGACTCCAGCCATGACCAGAGAAGCTCAGCATGAGTGTGGCCCTGGTGAGTGGAGGCTGGGGGAAGATGTGATGTTGGGGCTGGGTTCCAGTCATTCCCTAACCTCTCTGTGCCCACAGTTGTTTTAGTGCCAAGGCCACTGGCCACACTTCATTTCTGTCTTGACTTTCCCATTTACACACTTGTCTTTTGTGCTCCCCAGTTTTGGCCTCTGGCTGTTCCCCAGTTCTGCCTCCACATCTCACCTGGTCCTCCCCACCGCTCCCTCTGCAGTGCTCTCCAGCACTGGAGCAGACTTAATGTGCAATCAGATGTGCACATATCCCAAATAGTCCTTAAATACTAGCTATTCAGGGAACACACCCTCCTGCTCAGCTCTCACCTGTCCCCAGCAGCCAAGACCTCACTGAAATCCCTTTGTGGATGACTCCATTGGAGACCCTGGCTCTTTCTGGGCTGTACCCCACATTTGTGTCCTCTCCCAGTCAAGGCCTCTTCCATTCTGTGACCTTTAGATGCCAACTACTGCATAGCAGCCCATTATTCAGCCTGAGCTTTGGCCTCTTGTCCTGACAGCAGTCCCATGACCTTGATCTTAGTTCTATTAGATAGACACATGTACTGAGACTGCCCCCTCCCACCAGTGTCAGTTTGTATTTCACCAGCATTTGTCTGCCTTCAGGTTGTTGGCGTGGAATGGAGGATGAGGAGATAGCTTTTAAACAGAACATTTCTGTAGGAATGTTGCAGACCAGGACTCCCAAGGAAGGCCATTCTATCCAGAAGGCCCACCCCTGTGAGACATGTGGCCTGGTCTTGAAAGACATTTTGCACTTGGCCGAGCACCAGGAAACGCACCCTGGGCAGAAACCTTACATGTGTGTGGCATGTGGGAAACAATTCTGGTTGAGCACAAACCTTCACTACCAGAAGCAGCACAGTGGAGAGAAGCCCTTCAGAGGGGACAAGGGTAGGACCTTTCTTGTGAACAGCTGCCCTGTCCAGCCAGTGGAGATGTCTTTTATGACAGGGGAGGGTTGTAAAGACTTCCCAACTAGCTCAAACATCTTCCAGCACCATGCCCCTCACAGTAAATGGAAGCCACGCAGTAACACCAAGTGTGCAGAGGCCTTTCACAGTGGACAAAGGCATTACAAATGTAACGAATGTGGGAAAGTCTTCAGCCGCAAAGACTCACTTGTTCAGCACCAGAGAGTCCACACTGGAGAAAGGCCTTATGAATGCAGTGAATGTGGGAAAGCCTTCAGCCGCAAACCCATACTTGCTCAGCACCAGAGAATCCACACTGGAGAAATGCCTTATGAGTGTGGCATCTGTGGGAAAGTTTTTAATCATAGCTCCAACCTTATTGTACACCAGAGAGTCCACACTGGAGCAAGGCCTTACAAGTGCAGTGAATGTGGGAAAGCCTACAGTCACAAATCCACACTTGTTCAGCATGAGAGTATCCACACTGGAGAAAGGCCTTATGAATGCAGTGAATGTGGGAAATACTTTGGTCACAAATACAGACTCATTAAACATTGGAGCGTTCACACGGGGGCAAGGCCTTATGAGTGCATCGCATGTGGGAAGTTCTTTAGCCAGAGTTCCGACCTTATTGCACACCAAAGAGTTCACAATGGTGAAAAGCCCTATGTGTGCAGCGAGTGTGGAAAAGCCTTTAGCCACAAACATGTGCTTGTTCAGCACCATAGAATTCACACTGGAGAAAGGCCTTATAAATGCAGTGAATGTGGGAAGGCTTTCAGGCAAAGGGCTTCCCTCATCAGACATTGGAAAGTTCACACTGGAGAAAGGCCTTAGAATATCAGGAAATATGTCATCTCCTTGTTCAACATAGTGACTGACGCCAGAGAGAAGCTTTCAGAGGAGCCTTCGTGGGTAGCCGTCAGCTGGAAGTTGAACCTCATACGTTTAAACACCCGCGCTGGGAAGATTCTTCTGAGTGCCAGCTATGTGGGAAGGTTTCTGGAGCGATGGTGCACTTTGTAACATGCCCAGGACCCTTGCCAGAATTATATCACTGCCAGCATCTCTGAAAGATGCCATCTATTTTCACAATGGCAGGTTGTTATCCCACATTGTGTGTAAGTCACCCCAACATGCTTTGATAGGCAGACCTCTGCTCCTCCTCCATTCCCAGAGGGAATCATCAGTAGCCTGAGAAGATCTTCACTCCTTCCTGCTCCCCCAACGTGTTTAAGCACGGACATGACCCAGTTTGGGCCAGGAGGATGCAAGCTTTGTTTTGCTGGCTGCTTGCGGAGAGGGTTTCCATTTTTCATGGACTGTTGGTCTCATGTGGCACTTGTGATGGATTTGTCCAGGCTCCAAGTCACCTAAGTTGGGAGTTGCCTGCCTCCTATTGCTCTGCTTTTGCAACGGATGCCTTAGTTTTTAAACTGTCTTTAACCTTGAGGATTCTATTCACTTGTTGGATTGGGTTGAGAACAGAATTGGGCTCTGCCAGCATGAAGGGATGAACAGCTTTTGTGAGAGCTCCAGCTCTTGGGTCTCAGTGGCATTAGCAGAAAGGCAGGCAGAGAACAGCTCTCATTCTAGTTTCAGTCTAACTTGCATTGCTGTTCAAGAGCTGTGGGCTGTGACCTGTATGCCAAGATTATTTGTGTGACCAAGGTCACCCTGAGCAGTGGGCATTGTGACACCTCTGGTGTATCCAAAAGCAGCATGAATTGGGTCCTTTGTTCCCAGGGGATGTTTCATATTCTCCAGCTCTCTTGAGGAGAACTTGATCCCCTGGGGCCTGCCAACATCCCTGAAATCTGTTATTCGGCAGGAAGATGTCAGTGTCCCCTTAAAGGACCAGGTAGGAGTCATAATTGGTACAGACACTGATTAGTAGGGATTTGGGAGCCTGCAGCCAACTGTAGGGAATGTGGCTCTTCTAAAGGTGGATTTGCAAACGTTTCTGTCACGATGGCTTTGGTGTGAGGGGGTTGCAGAAATTCTCAGGACTCCCATATTTGTGTCTCTTTTATAGCTACGGTCACTGTCAGAGCAATCAATCTAAACATTTTCTTCAATAAATAGCATATATTTACAGTGTACAGTTTGATAAGTTTCAATACGTTTGCACCTGTGAAACCAAGTTTTCTGATTCCTTTTATGATCCCTTGCCCTCTCACTTATTCCCGGGCAACTGCTCATCTTGCTTCTAGTTGCTGTAGGTTTGTTTGCATTTCCCAGAATTTTATTTATAAACATGTAGGATAATTTAATCTGTACTCATGTATCTGGTTTCTTTACTTAATTATTTTGTGATTCATCAGTGTTCTGTGTATCAGTAGTTCATTCCTTTTCATCCATACTTTTCTGAAAGTATTTCATTTTGAGAAATAGTTCGAAAGCAATTGATCCAGGAGAGAACTCACACAAGAAGCCACAGTATCTGTTATAACTTTAACCTGGTGCTATCATTTTTTACTTATTCTGTGGGTAACAGACCCATCCTGGTACACGGTGGAAGGGACCTCCATAACAGTGAGAGTAGAAGGAGGTAGTGATTTGTGGGATGGATTCTTGGACACTGGTGACCACAATCATAGTCATTTTTCTTTTTCTTTACCTTTTTAGTCTAATGGTGAATTTCATTGACTGATTTTCAAAAGTTAAAACAATCTTGCAATTCTGAGGTAAACCCTATTTAGTCATGACATATTGTTCTTTTTATGTATTGTTGGATTTTTAGTTGCTGGTTTTTTTCATTTTAGAGATTTTTGCATCTCTGCTCATAGTGGATGTTAGTCTAATTTTTTTTAATGCCTGGGATTGGTTGGCATCAGCATAATGCTGGCTTTACAGAATTAGTTAGTTGAGTGCTCCCTGCTCTCTAATTTTCTGGAAGATTTTGTAAAGAGTTGATATTATGTCTTCCTTAGTTGTTTGGTTGAATTCACCAGTAAAGTGTCAGGACCTAGAGTTTATTTTACAGGAGTGTTTCTAAATAAAAATTTCAATTTTCACAGGGGATATAGGTCTATGAAGTTAACCTTTTTTTCTTCCTAGAGTGAGCTTTGGTGGTTTGTGTCTTTCAAGGATTTTGTTCATTTTATTTAAGTAGTCACATTTTTCCTACTGTTCACTTACTATTTTAGTACCTGTAGAATCTGTAATTATACCACCTTTCTTATGCCCGATACTGGTAATGTCTATATTTCTCTTTTTTCTTTTATCAGAAGTTTATCAATTTTATTGATCTTCTTAAAGCACTTAGTTTCATTGATTTTTCTATTTTTCTGTTTTCTATTTCACTTTTTTTTTCCATTTTGACTTTTACCATTGCTTTTTGCTTTTATTGAATTTCATTTCTCTTGCTACTTTTTAACATGGAGGCTGAGATCCTTCATTTGAAACCTTTTTTTTTCCCCTAATATAGGTGCTTAATACTAAAAGTCATCCTGTAAGAACTGCTTTAGTTGCCTCCCACAAAACTTGATAGGTTTTTTCATTTTAATCAAGTTTAAAATATTCTCGTTTCTTTTTAAATTTCTTCTTTGACATAGCTCTTTTTAGAAATGTGTTATTTCAAATATTTGGGATTTTCCCTATCTTTCTGGTAATTGATTTCTAATTTAATTCTATTGCAGTCAAGTGCATGCTTTATGACTTGAATTCTTTACATTTATTGAGACTTGCTTTATGGCCCAGAATAAGGGCTATTTTGTGTTTCATGTTAATTTGAAGTGACTGTATATTGTGTTTTGTTTGGTGGAGTGTTCTATAAAATGTCAACTAGGTTAAGATGGTAGATAATGTCTAAATTTTCTGTTTCCTCAGTGATTTTTGGGGAAGGGTTCTATCAATTATTTGAAGAAGATTATTGACATCTCTGAGTATAATAGTAGATTTGCCTATTTCTCTGTGTAGTTCTGTCAGTTTTTGCTTTATTTTGAAGTCTTTTTATTGATTGAATAAACATTTCCTGCTCTTATGTCCACTTAATGAGTAGACCTCTTTACCATTAAGAAGTGGCCCTCTTTATCTATAGTAATATTCTTTGGTCTAAAATCTATCTTGTCTGAGACTGTTGTCTTTTAGTGCTGTTGTAGTGATACTGTTCACATAGTGTAATTTTGATTGAATGCTCAATTTTGCCTTAATTCTAAATATTTTTAGGTGGAATTATCAAAGCATCGATTTTAAGGCTAATTTCCCTCCCACTGCTGAGGCACAACCATTCTGTATTCTCTACCTGATGATTCATGAGGTTTCCCACTTAAACTGGTTGGGACAAGCACTATTCCATGTTCTGCATTACCCTTGGAAATTGTTCCATCTAATCCTTTTCGGTGTGTCTTTGCCCAGCCTCTGGTGGTTTCATATGTGCATGTACAGATTACTGCTCAGCTGAATACTTGAGGATGACCCTCTGTATGTCTCCAAAGTTTTCTGTCTCCTGTACTGTGCTCTATGAACTCCAGCCACCTTGGCAGGCCCAGACTCCAAGCTCAATCTCCTTAACTCAGGGACAGTCATGTGGTTCACATCACTTGTTTGCCCTCTCTGATAGCTCACTGTTTGCTTGATGTCCAGTGTGTTGAGAGTCAGTTTCATATACTTTGTTGATTATTTTTTCAAGAAAATCTATCAGCTCCCTAAAGAAGACACCCTGAGTAAATTAGTAAAATTGATAACAGGGCCTGGCCCCATGGCCAAGTGGTTAAGTGCGTACACTCCGCTTCGGTGGCCCAGGGTTTAACTAGTTTGGATCCTGGGCACAGGCATGGCGCCGCTCATCAAGCCATGCTGAGGCAGCATCCCACATAACACAGCTAGAAGGACCTACGTCTAGACTATACAACTTGTACTGGGGGGCTTTGGGGAGCAGGAGAAGAAAAAGAAAAAAAAAGATGGACAACAGATGTTAGCTCACATGCCAATCTTTAAAAAGAAAAAAAAAACCTGATAACAATCTCTAGCCACATCAGGAAAATAAGGCACAGACATCACATACTACAAATATGAGTAAGGAAAGAAGGTATAGCACTAGATATTTTTGAAACATGTAATGGCTAATGTGTAGTTAAGTGACTCTTTCCCAATAAATGGAAATTTGGAGGACAAAAACTCATTGAAAGATACCAACTAACCAGCCTCACTCAAGTAGAAGTGGATAATCTGAAAAATCCTTTGTCCAATACACACATTTAATTAGTGTTTCCAGATTGCTAGTAGTGCTCATCTGTGGATAAATGTAAGGAGCCTTCTCACTAAAAACTTCAGACCAAGATGGCTTCACTAATGAATCCTACCAAATATTTAATCAAGACATAATTAAGATTCTATCAACTCTTCCAAAAAATAAGTAATAATGCATGGAACACTTCCCAACTAATTTTATGAAGCCAGTGTTACCCTGCAGCAAAACCAGGTAATGATATTAAAAGAAAATTACATGGGCTGGCCCCGTGGCCGAGTGGTTAAGTTCACACGCTCTGCTTTGGTGGCCCAGGTTTCACCTGTTTGGATCCTGGGCATGGACATGGCACTGCTCATCAAGCCGTGTTGAGGCAGCGTCCCACATGCCACAACTAGAAGGACCCACAACTAAAATATACTAGTGTAGGGGCTGGCCCTGTGGCCGAGTGGTTAAGTTCGTGTGCTCCGCTGCAGGCAGCCCAGTGTTTCGTTGGTTCGAATCCTAGGTGCGGACATGGCACTGCTCATCAGACCACACTGAGGCAGCGTCCCACATGCCACAACTAGAAGAACCCACAACGAAGAATATACAACTATGTACCGGGGGGCTTTGGGGAGAAAAAGGAAATAATAAAATCTTTAAAATATATATATATATATATATATATATATATATATATATACATACTACTGTAGTACTGGGGTGATTTGGGGAGAAAAAGCAAAAAAAAAAAAAAGAAGATTGGCAACAATTAGTAGCTCAGGTGTCAATCTTTAAAAAGAAAAAAAAAATACATACCAATACATGAGCCTAGATGCAAAAAAATCCTTAACAAAATTTTAGAGAGTTAAGTCTGGATGTGTGTGTGTGTATAAAATGAATATATTTTCAATTGTTAAGCCAATCTTATATTCCTGATAATATCCTAATCTAGAGAGATTTATGAGGCATGTAAGGTCGGTTTAACAATTGGAAATGCATTACTTGAATCCATATTAACTAGCAGCTGTGATATAATAAAGAATATATCTGCTCTTTGTCTCAGGTTTGCACAGAGGTTTAAAAATCTTAGAATTCCTGAAGTGATGGAGTCTTTCTTATGCTAATAAGGTGACTCATGGTAGGCCCCTAGAAAGCTTCAGGATCTAATAATGTGGCTTATGTCAGGAGGCCCTGGTCAAAACTCGACACCAAAGGTTGGTGAAGCTTCCTGGTTGGTGAACATTGATATGCAGGAGGGTGAGTGCCCTGGCTCCCTGAGGAGAGTCAGGGAAGCTCTGCATCCAGGCCACCCTGCCCCGCCCCCGACCTTGCCTTATGCATCCTTTCTATTTGGCTGTTCCTGAGTTGTATTCTTTATGACAAAACTAGAATCCTAGGTAGAGCACTTTTAGTGAGTTCTATGAGTCATTCGAGTGAATTATTGAACCTGAGCGGATCATGGGAACTCCTGAAATTATAGCCAGTTGGTCAGAAGTGCACGTGAGCCCTGAGATTTGCAGCTCACTTCTGAAATCAGGGCTTTCTTGTGCAGGACTGAGGCATTAAAGATGTGGAGACTGATGCTAACTCTGCGTAGTTGGTGTCAGAAAACATGTCAGAACCAATTCACTTAACTTGATATAGGGCAGCTATTAAAAACCTAAAGCGAACATTACACTTAATGGTGAAAGTCTGAATGCTTTCCACCTAATATTAGTGATAAGCGGTGATGTCCGCTCATTACTTCTATATAATATTACACTGAGGGTCTCTGCCAGTGCTATAAGAAAATTAAAGGAACTAAATGGTGTGCAAATTGTAAAGGAAGAACCAAGACAGTCATTATTCACAGATGACATGCTTATCTATTTAGAAAATTCCTAGTTATCTAATTAAAAAGCTAATAGATCTAATAAGTTAGATTAG